TTTCTGAAGAAGGGTCTAGGCCCAAAACGTCAGCCTTCCTGCTCCTCTGAGGCTGCTTGGCCTGCTGTTTTCATCCAGCTCTACACCTTGTTATCTCAGATTCTCCAGCATGTGCAGTTCCTATTATCTCTGGAAGACAGTTTAGGTGTTTTTGGCCACTTCTAGAATTTATTTTCTCTCACAGCTTTGATTGACTTTGGAACTTTCTGCCTCAAAAGGCAATGAAGGCACAGTTATTGAATATGTTTAATGTGAAGATAGATTCTTGTTGAACAAAGGGATCAAAAATTATTGAGGGGTAAATGGGAAAGTGGAACACACACATCAACAATGATCTTCTAGAATGGCAAGCAGGCCTAAAGCGCTAAATGGTCCACTTCTGCTCTGAATCTGCATGGTTATGTGTATGGTGATGTATTGCAACATCTCACTATGGTTCCTTATACATCTTATAGATGGTATACAATGGTTCCTAAATGGAAGGTTGACTATTCATCCTGCATCTGGACTGCTAAGTTGCTGCAGATGCTTTCTGGTGTCTAGCTCACTGCAATCTTGATATTGGATGGAAAATAGTCCTGTATTGGAAAATAATGAACCCTTATGTTTTACACTTGCAACTGAATCATCTCCTTCAGAATTTTTTTTAGCTGCCTTGCAAAACTTATTCCATCAAAAACCCTCGAGTAAGGTCTCACAAAAGAATCCTTCATATTAAAAGCACATTACACAGTATTAATCTCGACTAAAAAATTACTGTCAATATCATTACTCAGGTTGGAGAAATTGGAAGCAGACCTCAAGCAAAACTGGGCTAAAAATGTAGGTGAGAAATTTGGAATTGTCACAGAAAAATGAACTGAAAGTTTGAAAACCTCCCAGAAATCAATGATGCCCTGTAAGGTTTGCCAGATCTCTGCCCAAATCTCGTTTGTTTGTTTATTGTGTTTGATGTGAGACTACAGATGAAACCATTTGCGATACTTGATTTTTAAATTAGTGGGACAACTTAATTTCGGGCAGTAAATCATGTTGATGTTTAATCTGTATAATTTAATTTTGTTTTCATTGATAGAATCATAGAGTTGGCATTGTGTAACTTTTAGCCATTTGATCTGTTGTGTTTGTGTTGCCTGTACTAAGGTACAATTCATAAACTGCCCCTCCAACACCTTCTTCCATATCTCTGCATATTTCTACCTTTAAAATATTTGGGAACTTTAGAAAAACTAAAACAAATAATCATGACACAGAAGGAGGCCACTCTGCCTATTGTTTTTGAATTGGCTGAAAAATGAGTCATCCAGTCTCCTCACGTTTTTCAGCACTTGGTCATTACCCCTAGAGATTATGGGACTTAAGAAGCATATGCAGACACCTTTTATAAGAGTGCAGGCCATGTGTTCCAGACCCCTGGATAAACGGATTTTACTCAGGTTCCATCTAATCTTTGTACCAGCTACTTCAAATCTGCGCCCCCCTCGTCACTGCCCCATTGCTAAAGAAAATGGGTCTGTCTCATCCACTCTCAAACCAGGTTTTTCATACCCTTGTACACCTCTTAAGTGTTCCCTCAGCTTCCTCTGACAAAGGAAAATGACCTCAGCTTATCCATTCTTTGATAGCAGCAGTTTTTTTTTAGCCCTGGCAACATCTTGAAGCTTGAGAACTTTAATTCCTTTTCTGCTGACCATGGTGGTGCTTTTATAATCCACAAGTTTTCAAATATTGGTCCCTGAATTGTAAGCACCATTGGATTTCTGTGATTGCAGTGCAATTAGTTTTAATTAATTTGTGTTAGTCCTTTTAGGATCGTGCCAACTCCAAGGTGATACAAGGTTCAAATGGAAAATTGCAGCTTCTTTAATGCTACATATGAACCAAGCAGGTCCATAGCATTATAGGATACTGTTGATTGACCAAAAACCCTGTCCAGTTTAACTGTGCAGATATTCTGTAACATTCTCTGTGATTGGTGGAGTAGCAGATAGTGAAGGGGACTGTCGGAGAATGCAGCAGAATATAGATAGATTGGAGAGTTGGGCAGAGAAATGGCAGATGGAGTTCAATCCAGGCAAATGTGAGGTGATGCATTTTGGAAGATCCAATTCAAGAGCGAACTATACGGTAAATGGAAAAGCCCTGGGGAAAATTGATACACAGAGAGATCTGGGTGTTCAGGTCCATTGTACCCTGCCGGTGGCAACGCAGGTTGATAGAGTGGTCAAAAAGGCATATGGCATGCTTTCATTCATCGGACGGGGTATTGAGTGCAAGAGTTGGCAGGTCATGTTACAGTTGTATAGGACTTTGGTTCGAACACATTTGGAATACTGCGTACAGTTCTGATTGCCACATTACCAAAAGGATGTGGATGCTTTGGAGTGGGTATAGAGGAGGTTCACCAGGATGTTGCCTGGTATGGAGGGCGCTAGTTATGAAGAGAGGTTGAGTAGATTAGGATTATTTACATTAGAAAGACGGAGGTTGAGGGGGGATCTGATTGAGGTCTACAAAATCATGAGAGGTATAGACAGGGTGGATAGCAAGAAGCTTTTTCCCAGAGTGGGGGACTCAATTACTAGGGGTCCCGATTTCAAGGTGACAGGGGAAAAGTTTAAGGGAGATATGCGTGGAAAGTTCTTTACGCAGAGGGTGGTGGGTGTCTGGAACGTGTTGCCAGCGGAGGTGGTAGAGGCGGGCACGATAGCGTCATTTAAGATATATTTAGACGGATAAGTGAATGGGCAGGGAGCAGAGGGATACAGATCCTTGGAAAATAGGCGACAGGTTTAGATAGAAGATCTGGCTTGGCGTAGGCTTGGTGGGCCGAAGGGCCTGTTCCTGTGCTGTAATTTTCTTTGTTCTTTGTTCTTGTTCTTTGAGCGCTATTTGTTTTTAGCTGTTTTGACAGCTGCAATATCCCTGAACACATTTGGTGTCTTGTGAAGAGAAGTGATGAAAAGTAATTTATATAAAATGTTAGCTGTGTTTCTCTGTCTACAGATGTTGCCTAACCTGAGTATTTTCAGCATTTCTGCTTCTATTTTGTTTCTGGTTTCTGGTGTCTGCTGTGTTTTGCTTTTCTAATCGTAAATTTGTATGTATAATCTTACTCCGTATTAATAGTTCAGTTGGGGATTAAACATATCGATGAATTACCACACATCAGCCATTAGAGAAGGACAGCCCTTGCGTAATTGACACTGTCTTTTATAAAATAGAATAAGGGTAGCCCAGTGTGTGTGTGTATTTGCAAGGGACATCTCAATATTAGAATTTGAAAATCACTAGGCCACTTGACATTCCTATTAACTTCTGCAAACATACACCAGCACCTTTTGAATTCTCAACATATAAAACGCTGCATCTTGTTTTCTTAAAACAATTTAAAACAAAATTTGGTTTAAATATATTAAGTACAAAGATTCTTCAAAATTGACGTATATTAAGCAATCTGATACGTGAAAACCCATGATAAATTTATATGAAAGACAGTCAACAGCAGCACACATGAGGATTGGGCCTAATTTTGGGAGGATAAGAAGGTGGAAACGAGTTATGCAATCTGCTTATTCTTGAGAACGCTCATATCTCACATCCATCCTAAATTTACAACTTCTGTCATTGTTTTGCTGCACTTGTTGGATTGGATGTCAAATGGAACTTTGCATGCTGTCTCAGCTGTTTAGGCAGTTTATATGTCCTTATTCGTGTGATAAGCTTTTTATACATTTCACACGTCTGAGTTCTTTCGAGGGTGTTGCTATACTTTCTTGACCAGTTTCTTGGAAAATATGACACTTACCAATTCAGAGAACTTTGCCAAGTTTTATTTTTGCATTGGAAAATTTGGGGATCTACACATGCGATGATGTCACAATACATCAAAAAATTTGTGTGATTACACAAGTGCGAGCATGTGCAGGAGTGTGCGTATCTCTTGGAAGCTCACAATGACATTGTGACCATGCAGATGCCAAGGTGCATTTGCGCAAATCTATCCTGAAAAGCTGACAAATTTGTGGATCTGTTTTGATGTCAGCAGTTGCTGTGCATGTATTGAGGTTGTGTATGTACAGAACACACTTAGCAGTTTTGCCATGAAGCACTTCACCATCATTGGTGATAATCTTTAAGTCCTCTACGTCAATGCAAATTATATCACTCCTCCAAATGCTAGGTTACCAATGAAGCACACCAGCAGAATCTTTCAAATTAATATACTGTATTTGCACAGATCACAGTACTCCAAAATGGAGCAAGCAAATGCAGATTGGTGATTGCTTTTTCTAAAGGGCTGCTGGTAATGTTTCTGTTGCTGTATAACTTCTGACTCCTCCAGACCCATGTTGGTTTCTTTATCCTGTCCTGTTACAACTCCTTTTACTCTCCATGATGATTCCTTTGGCATTTGATATCTCCTACCCTTCAATCCTATCACAGTTCCAAAGAAGTGTTATTGGACTTGAAATGTTAACTTTGTTTCTTTCTCTTCAGATACACAGATTCTTGGAAACTTGCTGAATTTCTGCAGCACTTTGTTTTAATATCCCATCCGACACCTTTTACCCCTCCCCCTACCCTTCCTCCCACTCATCTATCCTTGGCTTGTACATGCTTAAAAGCTGTTACGTTTCTGTCCTTTGGCAAGTTTGATGAATATTTACTTTTTCTCTTGTCACAGATATTACCAGAGTACTGAATTCGTTCAACATCTTCTGTTTTTATTCCTTATTTCATATTTTCTTTGTTTTTGACTTCAGGCCATCAGGAGATCACAAGAAGTCTGCGAGCATGGAAGAGAAGGATGTTGCAGTTTTCAGCAATGAGAACAGAAGCAGTAAAGACAAGGAATCTACTGACAGGAGGCCCATCTCCAGTAGAGAGAAAGGCCGGGATGAACTTAAAGCCAGCAGCAGAAGGGAAACCATAAAGGCAGCCGAGGAGAAAAAGAAGAGGCAAGACGATGAAAAACGCAAAAAGGAGGATGAAAAACGAAAGAAAAAGGAAGAGGAGAAGTTAAAAGCAGAGGAAGAACAAAGGAAGAAAGAAGAGGAAGAAAAGAGGAAACTAGAGGAGGAAGAAAGGAAGAAACAGGAGGAGGAGGAAAAAAGGCAGAGAGAAGAAGCAGCAACCAGGCAGAGGCAAGATTTTAGTTTCAAAGATTTTAAAGATAATGTTAGAATTAATTTGAACTCTGAACCAACTTTTTCTTGAATATGTAATTACTCTTCCTGCTTTTAACATTTTTATTGTATTAACCAGATTTTCTGATCCTGTGTAGTTTTGCCTTATACTGAAACTTGGAGGGACAAACTCTGCACCCACGAGTTAAGATTCAGATATAACCAGAATGTGCAATATTATCAGGACAAGCCTACTTGCTCACTACTGTGGTTACCCCTTGAAAGTTGTGGTGTGTGCCATGGGGGCATTGATCTGTGTCAAGTCACAAAAAGGTCACGGTTGTAAAGACTGGCACTTCATTGCAGTAATGAGTGACTTGTGCAATTGAAGAAGCTGTTTTGTAGAGGTGATGTTCTTTGTTCTTAGAGTACCATGCAGGAACAGGCCCTTTGGCCCACCAAGCCTGTACCAACATATGACACCTTTCTGAACCAAAAAACCTTTTGCCTCTACCCAGTCCATATCCCTCTATTCCCTGCCTGTTCATGTATCTATTAAGATGCCTCTTAAGTGGTGCTGTTGTGTTTGCCTGTAGCAGCTCCTCTGGCAGCGCATTCCACATGCTTACTGCCCTCTGTATGATAACAAAACCTGCTTCTCTCACCTCCTGTAAACTTACTGAAAGAACTGTGGATGATGTAAATCAGAAACAAAAACAGAAGTTGCTGGAAAAGCTCAGCAGGTCTGGCAGCGTCTCTGACGTGTGTTTCGGATGCGGTGACGTTCTGAAGAAGGGTCACTGGACCTGAAACGTCAACTCTGATTTCTCTTCACAGATGCTGCCAGACCTGCTGAGCTTTTCCAGCAACTTCTGTTTTTGTTCCTTTAAACTTACCCCCATTAATCTTAAACTCATGCCCCTGTCCATTCCATCCATGCTACTCCATGCCAAACCAATTCTGTAAACTTCTGTCAAGTCGCCCCTCATTCTTTAATGATCAAGTAAAACAAACCAAGTTTGTCCAACCTCCTAGACCCGAAACGTCAGCTTTCCTGCTCCTCTGATGCTGCTTGGCCTGCTGTGTTCATCCAGCTCTACACCTTGTTGTCTTCTACGACCAAACCAGTTCTGTATTCATTTTCCCATCTTAATTGATCCCTAAAACAGTGGAATGGTGCATTTCATTGTCTTTGAATTGGTGAATCAAATGGACTGGAGAACCACCTTTTTGCACCATAATCTTGCGAACCTTTTATTTGTCATATCTGCATATGTGAAGTGTGTGATCAGGGCCAACATCATGATATAATATTCCAGTTTTGGTTAAAGAAATGCTGTGAGCATTAAGGCAATAGTATGGTTGCAGTGTTCGGATCAATAGAATTTTGAATTGCTGGAACTTGGTCTGAATCCTGCTATTCTTTTCTTTATTGTGTAGAGAGATGGAAGAAGCGTATCAGTTGCATCAAGAGGCCTGGGAGCGTCATCAAACAAGATTAGAACTCCGTAGTAAGAATCAGATAGCGCATGAGAACCGTCCAGAGGAGAGTTTCTTTACCAGGCTGGACTCAAGCCTAAAGAAAAATACAGCATTTGTCAAGAAGCTCAGAACTATTACTGAGCAGCAAAGAGACTCCCTTTCCAGTGATTTCAACATGCTTAACTTGAGCAAGTACATTGCGGAAGCTGTTGCGTCCATTGTAGAAGCCAAACTGAAATTATCTGATGTGAATTGTGCTGTTCACCTTTGCTGCCTGTTTCACTTGCGTTATGCTGACTTTTCACCATTGCTTCTACAAGGCTGGAGAAAGCACTTTGAAGCCAGGAAGGAAGAAAAAACTCCAAACATTAGCAAACTGAGGACTGACATGCGCTTCATTGCAGAACTGACGATTTGTGGAATCTTCACTGACAAAGAAGGCCTGTCACTCATCTACGAGCAGCTGAAGAATATCATTTGTGCTGATCGTGATACTCACACTCACGTCTCTGTGATTATCAGCTTTTGCCGGCATTGTGGAGATGATGTGGCTGGTCTGGTCACCAGAAAGATGAAGTTTGCCTCCGAGAAACACAACCTCAGCTTCCCTCCCAGTGAGATCATCAGTTCTGAAAAGCAGCAGCCCTTCATGAATCTGTTGAGGGAGTACTTTACCTCTCTGACCAAACATCTTAAAAAAGATCACCGTGAATTACAGAATCTGGAGAGGCAGAACAGGTGATTTGATTTTTTTGTTTTCAGAAGTTTTAGTGTTATTGGTAGATTTTTGCTATGCCGTGGAAACTCATTAATGGAGGTAGTGTATTGATATCGATGCATTGTCAATAAATGTGAATTAACAAGTCTTTCAAAGCAGTGACAAACGGAGGAAACAAAGCTAAATTTTAGTTTCAATATGTTGTCATTCCCCTTTACCTGGTATTAGCAATTTTCTTAAAAATGACAGGAATTCAAAAATATTAACTTGATCATTTTTTTTCCATTTCTGATGTAATGATTAGTGCTTAAGCAACATTATTTACAATGACAACAAAAGTCACTGAACATGTGTTTTTGGCATAAGGATTGATACAGGCTATTGTTGGATTGTAACAGTCTGTATGCGCACCAAAGTGATCAAACATGCTGACAATAACTACCAATCTGTCATATTACCAGATTTACTAGTCGATGTCCATCTCTGTCAATCAGCAGCTCTAGAGCTGCATGTACCTCTACTTTCTCTTGGTTGCGGTTGTTTGAATCCTTTTTATTTTGTCATGGTCAAGCACATAGTCTTATTGCAATCATACAAATTAATAAGACATTAGCCATTTTAAAACAGACAACCTCCATTTCATTCCAAAGCAAAATACTACAGACACTGGAAATCTGATATAGAAAAGAAAAATGCTGAGTATTTCTGTTCTCCTCTGTTTTAATTTCCGCCTCCCTTCCATTTTGGCCTAGTTGATCAATATTTGCATTAATTTGGGTTTTTGTCGAAAAAATATAGTTTGATCTCTTTGAATTTGATGCTAAAATAGTACAACGAGGCATTTTTGTATGCTGATGGCACAGAAAAAAAATTCAAGCTGGATTACAAATATACAAAATTGGAGTAAATGCAGGCCATGTGGACCCTTGAGCCTACCCTGACATTCAATCAGATCATAGCTTATCTCTCGTTCTATTTTTACATTCCCATCAATGACACTACAAGTAGTGACCTCGCAACAGACACTGGTACAGTTAATTTAATTAAATCTGGTTAATTGTGATTTGGTATCAGGACTTAATCAGTGGTTCACAAGTACTCTTCAAGGAAGTAATTTCTTAATTTTAACCTGTTTTTCTAATTAACTTGTTCAGAGATGTTCTTGCACACCTCTGGAGCAGGCAGGACTTGAACCCGGGGCTCTTGGTCCAGGGATGGAGACACTATCGCTGCGGACCTTAAAGTACTTAGTCTCAGTACCCTCTGAAACCACTCAGAACAGAATCATGAGAGAAAAGTTAGACCTATTGGCATTTAGTGTAAACTGCTGTGATCCCATTTCCTCTCTGTCTCTCCCTTTAACCATATGTTTTGAAGTATTAATGCAATTCCTTTATTAACAATGTTCTCATTTGCGATAAATACTTCATATTGTTTCCATATAGAGTTATTACAATCTTTTTCTATTATGCCCTTTTTAAACTTGAATTCTCAGTTCTTTTAATGCAGCTTGGCCTTAGTTGAAACAATATTTCGCAGGAATTACGGCTTGGTGTTTACAATCAATTGCAAATAATGGGTGCTTGCTGCTGATTCACAGTCAGGTCTGCTGATAAATTGTGTTCTTTGGGAATTTCAACTCCCTGTCTGTGCAGTGTTACAGTTACTAATTGCAGAATTCATGACTCGGGATTTCCAGTGTTGAGCCATACTGATCTTATCAGTCCAAACAGCTGGTCATGTGAAAAGATTTTCACAAACGTACAAACACGAAACAAAGTTATAGTAAAATCACTTCCCACAAGGGGCAACACAGTGATTAGCACTGCCGCCTCAGAGCACCAAGGACCCAGGTTCGATTCCAGCCGCGGGTGATTGTCTGTGTGGACTTTGCAGGTTCTCCCTGTGTCTGTGCAGGTTTTCATCAGGTGCTGCAGTGTCCTCCCGCAGTCCAAAGATGTCTAGGTTAGGCCATGCTAAATTGCCCATAGTGATCAGGGATGTGTTAGCAATGGGAAATTAAGGATTACAGGGAACGGGTCTGGGTCTGGGTAGGATGCTCTTCTGAGGGTCGTTGTGATTCGATAGGCCTAGCACCCTATTTCCACACAGTAGGGATTCCATGGAAATAGATCATGAATGTAGGGTATAGGTAGAAGTTAAACATTTTTTTAAAAAAAAGAGTAAGTTGTGAATTTTTTTCTCTAAATCTGTTAATCATTTAACAGCATTCTACAAAAATAAAATTCTTTGTTTCAGGGACAGATCTGTTTATCAAATCTTATTAGTTACATTGCTGTTTGAAATCTTATACACATGACTAAACATTTAATATTTTGATATTTTTTGAATAATAATGTGAAGATAGGGAACCCAAAAATACTCAGAGATAACAAGGTGTAGAGCTGGATGAACACAGCAGGCCAAGCAGCATCATAGGAGCAGGAAGGCTGAGGTTTCGGGCCTAGACCCTTCTTCATCTCTCCAAAAATACTCAGCTTGTTTTCTCTGATTCCTTCCATACAGTTATCAGATATTACATATGCTAAATTTGAAACTGGTCTACCTCATCCAGTTTGGCTGTCTAGTTATTGTTCTTGAAAGCCCCTTTTTCTTTGGAGTCTCTGGATTTGACGGGGAAGGCTTAAAGTAGATGTATTTGATGCCTCATTGTGCCGTTACTTTGCACTATCCTCAATCATAACAGATATTCTCTGCCTAGAAAGAAATTTAGCTTCAGTTAATTTTCTTACAAGAAGTGCTGGAGGACTCGGCAGGCCTGGCAGCATCCGCTGAGAAATAAGCAGAGTTGACCTTTGAAGTCCGGTGACCATTCAGCAGGACTGTTCTGAGCAGGGATACTGGACTTGAAAAGTCAGCTCTGCTTATCCCTCGACAGGTGCAGCCAGACTTGCTGAGTTTCTCCAGCACTTAGTTTTTGTTTCAGATTTCCAGCATTCACAGTTCAAATATGATATTTTTATTGCTAAACTCACCATAGTAAAGGTTTAAATGAGACCAACCTTTGATTTTTACTTGATGAATTTGTATCTATCCCAGTCAGGAAATAACTTTGTAATCTATATTAGATCTACTTTAGATCCTCTAAAATCTGTTCAATTTAAAATGACTGAATAAAACCTGGCTTTTTTATCAGCAAGATCTATATCTCTCATGGGTATTTGCAGTGCTCTTTATTTCCATTAGTTTACAGCATTTATTATGTTCTGCCATTAGGAACTTTTTCATAGAGTCATAGGGTCTATTTCCAGGCTGTATAACCCTTCAGTCCAATTGTCCATGCTGACCAGAAATCCTAAATAAATCAGGTTCCATTTGCCAATATTTGGCCCATATCCTTCCAAACCTTTCCTATTCATGTATCCATCCAGATTCCTTTTAAATGTTGTAATTATACCAGCCTCCACCACTTCCTCTGGCAGCTCATTCCAGTCACACACCACCCTCTGCATGAAAAAGTTACCCCTTAGGTCCCTTTTCAATTTTTTCCTGTCTCACCTTAAACCTATGCATTCTAGTTTTGGACTCCACTAGCCTGGGGAAAAGACCTTGCCAATTCACCTTATCCATGCCCGTCATGATTTTATAAACTTCTATAAGGTCACCCCTCAGCTTCCGATGCTCCAGGGAAATCAGCCCCAGCTTATTCAGCCTCTCCCTGTAGCTCACACCCTCCAACCATGGCAACGTCCTCGTAAATCTTTTCTGAACCCTTTTATGTTTCACAACACCATTCCTATAGCAGGGAGACCAGAATTGAATGCAGTATTTCAAAAGTGGCCTAACCAATGTCCTGTACAACCGCAGCATGACCTCCCAACTCCTATACTGAATGCACTGACCAGTAAAGGCGAGCATACCAAACGCCTTCCTCACTATCCTGTCTATCTGTGACTCTTCTTTCAATGAACTATGAACCTGCATTCCAAGGTCTCTGCTCAGCAACACTCCCCAGGACCTTTACCATTATGTGTATAAGTCCTGCCCTGATTTGCCTTTCCAAAATGCAGCACCTCATATTTATCTAAATTAAAGTCCACCCACCAATCCTCGTCTCATTTGCCCATCTGACCAAGATCCCATTGTACTCTAAGATAACCACCTTCGTTGTCCACTATGCCACTAATTTTGGTGTCATCTGCAAACTTACTAACCATACCTCCTATGTTCACATTCAAATCATTTATATACATGACAAAAACCAGTGGACTAATGGCTGACTAAAATGATTTGGGCACTGCTGTCTCTTTGGAAACTGCAGTTTCGGTAAAATATGTACGTACAAATTGATTTTGAAAGTTCACAATTGATCAACTGGTTTGAAGATAGAAGATTGTGTTCCATGCACAATTAACAAGGCAGTAGACTTGAGCCATACTCCCTTTTAACTTCTGTATTTGCTGCTTTTTCTGCTAGGCGAATTTTGCATTCTAAAGGAGAACTGAGTGAAGATCGGCACAAGCAGTATGAAGAATTTGCTACCTCCTACCAGAAGCTTTTGGCAAACACACAGAGCCTGGCTGATTTGTTGGATGAGAACATGCCTGAACTTCCCCAGGATAAAACTGCGCAGGAAGGTAAAGTAATCATCTCGTGTGTTTTTTTAATCCACTTGTGGGACGTAGATATTGCTGGCTGGCCAGCATTTCTAATGTCTATCCCTAGTTGCCCTTGAGAAGATAGTGGTGAGCTACCTTCTTGAACTGCTACAGTCCATGTGCTGTAGGTTGACCCACAATGCACTTAGGGAGGGAATTCCAGGATTTTGACCAAACGCGAAGGTTTGGTGTAAATTCTGACTTTTGCATAATATAATTTTTTTATCTAAAATTCCAGGAGGAGAGTCTCAACCTGGAAACAAGGCTCTAGTAGCAAGGCTGGGAGCAGGATCTAGGGAGTTCGCCATGCTATCATCTTGGGACTGCTGTTATTCTGGAGGGCTTCCACTTCTACTGGATCTGCTGGTTCCAGTAGCCCATCCAAAGGATTCAGTGCAATGGTGCCCAAAACTCTGTGGAATTGGATGAGAGAACAGTGGAACTTGAGTCTCTTTGGGGTTCAACATTGGGCATTGGGATGGTAGTCTGAGTGAATAAATAATGTGACCCATCAGACTGTCTGGGTTTTAGTGGAAGAGGATAAAGTAAGAACTCAACCATGTATCCCAGAATGCAATGGGAAGTAGGGGAAGAAATTGCGGGGCCCCTCGCAGAAATACTTGCATCATCTATAACCACGGGTGAAATGCCTGCTGACGGGAGGGTGACTAATGATGTGCCTTTGTATAAGAAGGGTTTTCAGGAGAAACTGGGGTACGACAGACCTGTCAGTCTGACTTCAGTTGTAAGGACCTTCACTGAATCTGTCACCATAGAGCTTGGCTGAAACGTAATGAGTATATAAAATAACACTTCTCCAAACTGTTTGAAAAATGCAGGTTTTCATATTTTATGACGTATAATACACAAATAATTATATTCTGGATGTCGCTATGCTGTCTTATTGCTATTTTCTTTTCATTGGTATCTGGAGTTGTGTTAATTTTCAGGAGTTTATTAATATATTCAGCATGGGTGTTGCTATCAAGGACAGCGTTTGTGGCCTATCTCTGTCTGACCTTGAGAAGGTAGTGATTTATTAAAATAAATGTCTCATTTGAAAATAGTTCACAAAGCATTGCCATAATCCTTTCCCTTGCTTTGCTTCACATGAATACTTCGCATGAAGTCTGTTCATGCACTGTTCTGGGTCCTCTTTTGTTTGTCATTTATAGAAATGATTTGGATGAGAACACAGAAGGTATGGTTAGTAAGTTTGTGGGCAACACCAAAATTGATAATGAAGAAGATTACAGAGGGATCTTGATCAAATGCGTCAATGGTCTGAAAAACGGTGGATCGAGTTCAATTTGGATAAATTGCGTTTTGGTGCAACAAACAGGGTAGGACTTCTACAATTACTGGTAGAGCCTTGGGTAGTGGCGTGGAACAGAGGGACCTAGGGGTTCAGGTTCACAATTCTTTTGAAATTTGTGTCACATCTCGATGGGGTAGTTAAAAAGGCATTTAGCACGCTTGCATTTATTGTTCAGTCCTTTGAGTATAGGAGTCAGGAAGTCATGCTGAGGTTGTACAAGGCGTTGGTGAGGCCTCTTCTGGAGTACTGTATGCAGTTTTGGTTGCCCAGTTATAGGAAGGATATTGTTAAGATGGAGAGGGATCAGAAGAGATTCACCAGGATGTTGCCAGGTATGGAAGGTTTGAGTTATAGAGAGAGGCTGGATAGGCTGGGACTTTTTTCACTGGAGCGCAGGAATTGAGAGCTAACATTCTAGAAGTTTATAAAATCATGAGGGGTTTAGATAGGTTTAATGGTAGGTGTCTTTTCCCTAGAATGGGGGTTTTCAAGACTAGGGGACATACTTTTAAGGTGAGAGGAGAGAGATTTAAAGAAGACCATGAGGGGAAATTTTTTATGTAGAGGGTAGTTCGCGTGTGCAATGAACTTCCTGAGGAAGTGGTGGATGTTGGCATGGTTGCAACGTTTAAAAGACACTTGGATATGTACGTGAATAGGAAAGGTTTGGAGGGATATGGGCCAGGAACAGGCAGGTGGAACTAGTTCTGTTTGGGATTACGTTCGGCACGGACTGGTTGGGCCGAAGGGTCTGTTTCCGTGCTGTATGACTCTTGCCAGTTCTTTGTTTCCTTCCAAAATTGCAGGTCTTTTCCTCGGAAGACATTTGTGTTAAAGTGTGTCGATTATACTATTAATCAGCTTAATCCAAAGTGTGTATTTAACAGTGAAGAATGTGAATCTTTAGATCTAGTACAAAAATCTTTAGTTAGCTTCATGAATGTATTTACTAAATTTGCATGAGTAGCCACTAGGTATTACTCAAAGATAGCTGTTCCATATAACCCAACAAGATTCCATAATTTTGTTTAACAGAACATGGCACTGGCATAGACATTTTCACACCAGGGAAGCCCGGAGAATATGACCTTGATGGAGGAATCTGGGAAGATGAAGATGCACGCAACTTCTATGAAAACCTAATTGACCTGAAAGCATTTGTACCTGCTATATTGTTCAAAGATAACGAGAAGAACTCGCAGAACAAAGATTCGAGCAAAGAAGATTCAAAAGGTAATGGTGTGGGAGCAAATTACTGCAGATGTTGGAATCTGTACTGAAAACAACAAATGCTGGAGATCACAGTGAGTCAGACAGCATCCATGGAGACAGAGCAAGCTAATGTTTTGAAGCTAGATGACTTTTCATCAGAGCTGAAGCTTACTTATGCTCTGAAGTGCCAACTGGACTTGGAACGTTAGCTTGCTGTCTCTCCATGGATGCTGTCTGATTCGCTATGATCTCCAGCATTTGCTTTCAAAAGGCAATGGTGTTCAGGTGTTCAATGGAAAATCCACGACGATGTGTAGCATTTGAATTGAATTGGATAGAGGTAGCACTATCTTTGTTTGAAGCCTCAAGTTTTATTCCTTAGTCTGAGAATTTGGTTTACATTTACATTTCAGAAATTGGGAAAGTAAAATGTATTTTTGGAAATTTTGGCAACTTTGACAGAAATACAGGCATTGGCAACTTGCAGTGATTCACAATTCATGCGGTGACCTCTCTCTTCAAGTTCTTAACTGGCTTTTCTATTCTTAAACTGTATCATTCAGTGAAATGCACTTGCTATCATTCAATTGTAATGGTCTCTGTAGGCTAGAAGTAAGCTAAAGCCACAGGAGGCTTCCACTCTGCATGGGCTTGGTGGAGCAGTAGTTGAAAAGTTAAAATGTGATGTATGGAAGGAAAGTTATGGTGTCCTATTCTGTCTTGAAGACAAAGTGCTGGTCCAATTATAAACTGCAAACCTTTTTGCTTAATTGCAAAAAAAGTGACATTTATGATGGAGTTTTATATGATCTAAAATTTCTGGTGAAAGCATGTAGAAATAAATAAAACAACTAACCCTTGTAAATAAATGTCACAAGGCAAAGTAGTTTATTTAGTGTACTCACAGTAGTTTAATACGTACAGTTCAGAGATTGAATCATCTTTTTATATGCCTAGGGAGGAATGTGGCCGTTTGCAAGTTTCACACCTGATACATGTAAATTCACAGCCCATTTTAACTTAGAAGGCCCGCTTAGTTTTTCAGTATTGTATTCCACCCTGAGCAGTCAACAAAGCCCTGTGTCCACGCCCACGCGCCTGACTTTAGTTCTCAACCCATGCCAATTCTATGCCCTGTGTATCCTTCATGACCCCTGGAATCCTGTATGCGCCCTCTTCTCTCCATGTATCCATGGCCACGCACCGAATTTACACGGTTCCCTAGAAAATATATACAGCCCTTGGGGTTGGGGGGAATCCTCTCAACGCCTAATAAAGCCTTCATTTCATTGATTCTGACAGAAATAAATGTGCTGTGACATTTGAAAAAAATGACTGGATTCCATATCAGCAAAATAAATTTTTTAATAGAATCCGTACAGTGTGGAATCAGGCCACCAAGCCCACACTGACCCTCCAAAAAGCATCCCACCTCGACCCACTCCCTCACCCTATTCCTGTAACCCTGCATTTCCCATTGCTAATCCTTATCCCTGGACACTCTGGGCAATGAATGAGACATTTTGCTGAAACCAATTAGCATTTGAAACGCGTCAAGCATTGATAGATGTTTCCAGTTCATCAAACAATAAACTACTCTCTCGGAAGGAAAGAATATGTGTTTATTTGAGTTTACAAGCAGATGGCCTGTCAATCAATGTAGGGAGGGAGATGGTGAGAATTTTTCTTGTGTCAAAACTATCCATTTTTTATTCAGCCAGAGCCATTTAAATCACAGAAAAAAAATGATAGCACAGGCGGACAGGATATTTTTGGTACATTTTTCACTTCATTATGGTGCTTTGTCCACTTAAAGCGCTGGTGAGCAAACACACAGGCTGGTAATTCATGAATCAACATAACCTTTAAGGTACAAATACTAATGATTTGTCACTACGTAATTCATATGTGTGCAATGTACATACTGCAGCTCATCACCTGATTTGTGAAACCTGAATGTAGATATTTATTCATTTTACCTTTCGGAATGCCCCTTCTCAAACCTGGTGAGGCTTTAATGTGTTTCTAAAACCAAACAGCGCTAGACAAAAATGGTGTGCAGAAGAAAATCTTCATTTTCACCTCCATAAAAGGGGACTACAAAATTAATGGTTTGAAGTGTACATTTTGCACGCTAGCTACTCTCAGGCCTCCATTGGGCCCAATTGTGGTGCAGTGACAGGAATATGGAGGAAAATCAGATTTCCTGCAAAATGAATCTGTGTGGCCATTCCTGCGCTAAAATGTGCCTTCAGACACTGAGAACCTCAGAAGCAGCAACATTACCTCTGCACACCTTAAGCTGCAGAGAAGTTTGTTAGTGCTGTTTGAAGCATCTTCATTGCTCTTTTCTTTAAGTGGTTAAGACCTAATCTCTGCTGACAGTAATTTGGAGAAATAGTTCCTGAGAAATCGAGAGCACTGCAATCGGTGCCAGTGTTGTCCCAGTAGAGTAATTTTGCCCTACTATTGGTATTGCAGAGTCAAATTGCACATTGAAGATTTCTTAAGATCAGTTCACAAAAGTTCTGGCATATCTTTGACTGTAATGTTTTCTCCCCACTTAGGCTAAGGTTATTTACGTTAAAGAAATTTGTGATAGCTCAGTAATTAATTTCATAAGGGCCGCCTCATTATCGAGTACAGTTGAATTGATTGTTTTTGTAAGTAAAAGTTGCCTGAAGTCAATGTTTTGTCTTGAGGTTAGAGACCTAGCTGGCAGGTGATTTTAGTGGGATTTGATCTTCTAGGTCAGGAAGTACAAACCTTGATTTCTAGATAAATCTGAATTTGCTATTGTCGTGAGGGACATTGCAGATGGCACCCATGTTCCAAGATTGGACAGAGGGAAAAGCAATCGGATATACTTACATCTGACTATTATTTAGTACTGTCTCAGTTTTATGCAGGTAGTCTGAACATATTTGTTGGGTTGGCTCACCTGCAACATCCTGCAGTTAAATACCCTGTTAATTAATGAAGGACAAATAAGGTTATAAAAGATTGTTGATAGCTCTGCAGCTGTGCCCAAATTGATTTGCTGCCTTCAGAAAAAGATGATATAGACTGGAATATCCAGGCTCTGACAAGTTGAGGAAGGTGAAATGGAAAGTGTGAGATCTGTTTGTTCCTACCTTGCTGTCTTAGATCATCAAGTGAAGGACGAATGGTTAATTAGATATGCAAAGAGCAATCTGTGCTCAGTTGGGAGTCTAGGCTGAACTGTCATGCAGCATAGGTGTTATGCTTTGAGCAGGCAATCCATTGGTCACTGTTCCAAATGTCAAGGCTTGCTGCCATCTGGATCTGCCTTTTATTAATTAGGGCTCAAAGAAGTCAAAAACTAAAAACAGAAAGCAATTTTCAGTATAAAACACAGCTCTGCATTGCAATGGGAAATTGTCCTTGAAAAGCCAGAATTTTTAACAGTTAAAGCAACATGGAGGAATATCTAAACATACATGTCACTGTTTGAGTTTCTTCGCCACTTTGTACTGTGAGTAATCATTTCTAAAAAAGTGGGCTGTTTTGAATGTCCAGTTTTCAGGTTATATTACCAGGTATGGTTCATATGAGAAGCGTGCAAAATCCAGCGCAGGTCTTAATTTTTTTTTGTAATTCATCTGTTTGTAACAGATTCCAAAGATGGCAGAGAGTCCAAGGATGGGAAAGATTCCAAAGATTTGGTTGCAACAGAAGAATTGGAACTGGAACTAGAGAATCTGGACATTAATGATGAAATGTTAGACGAAGAAGGAACAGAAGAAACAGAAGACCTCAGTCAAAAACTCCTAGAGGAACACGGTAACACTGCATTTTTAACTACTGGAGCTACATTGTGCAGTTTGATACTTTCACTGTCTGGCTGAGCTGCATCCATCCTCCACAATCTACTAGACCGCCTGTTGCATTTTTATATTTTCTTTTTTATATTTAGAAATTGGGAAAATATTATTGGGTCCAAAAAAAACTATCTCTTGTTGACTGTATTGATGGCATACGATTGCTAACCATTAATTGTTTATCTACTGGTGATCTTCAAGGCGATTCTATTTGATAATTTAAATGTTCTAGTTCTGAAACTCATCTGATGGAGAGCTGAATAACCTGGACTTCACTTGCTTCCCCAAAGAAAATCTGAATGTCAGTTGGGCAGAATGTATTTTCAGTTTTATGGGAGAAAAAATTGGTCTGGGTTTGGAATTCTGAGATCATGAGTCACTGGATTACTAAAACCAGAGCAACATCTAGAAACTTTGGAGGAGATGATGACTGGGTGTTTGTTTGTTTTTTTTTTTTGAAAACTACTTCTGTTTAAATATGCTCTAGCTCCCAGCTATTGTTGAATTTTAAATTGCTAATGGGAGCTAAGAGACTGCACTGAAACTACTGCAACTGGATTTTTGAACAGCGGGCATTGCAAAAAGTGGATGAATTGGGTGATGTCCCTAGTTGGCTTTTGCCTTCGTGGTTTGGTGCAAAATGACACATTATTTGCCATCAACTATGTAGATCAAAATAAAGTGATAACCTCAAAATTTAGTAAAATTTGACAACCTTTCAACAATGACATCGAATTATCGAGTAAAGACCCATTCATTTGGTTATGGTACAGTTCCATAAGATGACTTGGATATTTTATGTTAAATGTGTTTTCTTTAATGTATTTCAAAGTATCTTATTCTAGTTTTGCCTCTGTGGATAGTGTTTTAGAATACAAGTGTATACGGGCAGCAGCTTTTCACTATTCTTAATCTATAGCTACATATCGGCATTTATTTTATTTCATGGGATGTGGGTGTCACTGGCAAGGCCAGTATTTGTTGTCCAGTCTATTTACCCTTAGTTTGGCTAAGTATCTTGATAATAGGGTAACATACCTGTGCACGATATTTCAAAGATTTAGAGTACCTCTTCAAAAGAAAATGGTGAATAAAATATTTGTAACCAAAACACAGTGCCAAAAGCAAATTTTCATCTGTTCAGGAATGGCTGTACAAGAAGAACAAGTGCAGTCAGCATAGGAAATCCAACCATGACCAGTCTGTCATTGTAGAGTGTCCATCAGAGTCATTTGATGCCTAGGAAATACTGACGCAGCACAGTAGTGACAAATCCATAATGTTAGATTAGTGGGCAGCTAGTTGAAGTTTCTCAATGCTCAGAATGGTATTTGACCTGTGCACCAAATGTCAGTAGATTATAGTAAACATAAATGCTTTTGCAGGATCATACTATATATTTGGATGTCACATATGTTTGAACAGTGGACTTCTGACAAAACGGGTTCATAGTTGTTTCTAGCCTGCACTGAGTTGTCATTAAGCACTCTGAACTGGATGCCAGTCTTAAAATTGGTTGCAATTCTTAACTGTAGCTCCTTGCTCAGTGTTGGTGAACAGTAACTCTGGTAATCTGCATTGGACACGAATAAGACCCAAAGATGTAGGAGCAGAAGTAGGCCATTTGGCCCATCGAGTCTTCTCCACTCTTCAACAAAATCATGTCTGAACTGATAATGCTCACCCCACTTGGGGCAGTGTGGTGGCTCAGTGGTTAGCACTGCTGCCTTGCAATGCCAGGGACCCAGGTTTGATTTGTGTCTCGGGCAACTGTGTGGACTTTGCACATTCTCCCAGCGTGTACATGGGTTTCCTCCAGGTGCTCTGGATTCCTCCCACGGTCCAAAGATGTGCAGGTTAGGTGGATTGGCCATGCTGAATTGATGGTAAACTTGCTTGCCCAAAGTTTTGCTGGCATGGTTAACCATGGAGATGGATTTCCCCCTGTATCAAGATGCTCAGCCGGTGAAAAGAATAGTTTTCTGGTTACAGAATAGTGTTGTCAGATTCTCCATAATGTTAGTCTGACTGGCCGTGGCTTGATGTTTTTGATTGTAGGGTTGTGCAGGCTATTGGATTAGCCATGGCAAATGCAGTGTTACTGGTAGGGTTGGTCGGGGTGGGAAGCTGTTCAGAGGGCTGTGGCAGACTCAATGGCCTCTATCTGCATTATAGGGATTCTATGATTCACTTTCCTTCCTTTCCTTCATAACTCATGGTTCTCTTGGTAATTAAACATGTTTCTATCTGAACCTTGAATATTCTTAAAGACCCAGCTTCAACATTCCTCTGTGGTAAAGAACTCCACAGATTCACTACACTGTGAGAGATAAAATGTCTCTTTGTCTCTATCCTGACTGGGTGACCCCTTACTCTGAGATTATGCCTTCTGATCCTAGAATCTCCCACATGGGGACACAATCTCTCAGCGTGTACCCTGTAAAGCCTCTTAAGAATCTTGTATTTCAATAAGGTCCCTTGTTCTTCAAAACTTCAATAAGTACAAGCCCAACTTACTCAGCGTCTCCTCATGAGAAAATCCCTCCATATCTGAGATCAACCTAGTTAAACTTCTTTGTTGTCCATAATGCCAAATGTTCACAGATGTTCTAGATGTGGTCTGACTAGTGCCTTGTACAGTTTTTGCAACATATCCATATTTCATATTGCCATTTCCTTTTGAAAGCTTTGTGATTCATGCACAAGGACCTGTAATCCCTCTGTGCTGCAACTTTCTGCAGTCTCTTTCCATTTAAATAATCAGCTCTTCTATTCTTTCTGTCAACGTGCATAACCTCACATTTTCCCCGCATTATGTTCCATCTGACTAGTTTTTGTCCACTCACTTAACCTGTCTATATTCCTATTTAGACTATTATGGCACCATTACCACTTGCTTTCTACTTTTGTGACATGCACAAACTTGATAGTACGTTCACTTACCTCATCCAAAACATTATTACATTGGTAAATAATTGTGGCTTCATCATTGATCCCTGTGGCACTCCATTCATTACAGTTTGTCGCCATCCTGAAAATATTCTCCATATCCTAATTTATTTTCCATTAGTTACCAATCCTCTATCCATACTAACATTACTACCCCAATACCATGAGCCCTAGCTCTGCTAAGAATATCATGAAAATCAAAGTGACTTTACCTGTGGCTACCTTTTCGTGGAAATGCTGGTTTTGGAAAGATTGCTATATAGTGATTGTGCTGGTAAAAAGCTAGTCAGCTGCTCTTGCAGCCCAACAGCTCCACCTGGCAGAACTCACGTTTGTTGGGTTGCTTTCACTGTGTCTGCTGTATTCAAGAGAATAAACACAATACGTTTGCATACTTACTAGTGGATACTGTTACTCCACATTCTTCTGATGCTACTGTTGATAGTTCTTACAATCTGCTGAGAGCTTGAAATTGAAATTGGTCTGTTGACTGTTCTAGTGGAACAGGCTGAGCAAAATTGATGTTTCTTTTTGGATTAAATGACTCTAGGATGGTGCACCTGGATTGAATTCAAGTCATTTCCTTTGTGATGAACTCTACAAATTTATATCCAGGTCAGGGTACAGTTAATGATTGACGGTCTTTATCAGGCTTATGAATTGCACCTGGTGTTGTTGAACTGCTGCTGTGAGCTAGAATTCCTCCCATTTGGTCTTTGGTAACTATGTAAAACATGTTTTAGTGGGTACTTTGGTCCTGATTGGATGATGTCTGATGGTAAACTTGCTTGCCCAAAGTTTTGCTGGCATGGTTAACCATGGAGATGGATTTCTCCCTATATCAAGATGCTCAGCCGGTGAAAAGAATAGTTATCTGGTTACAGAATAGTGTTGTCAGATTCTACATAATGTTAGTCTGACTGGCCATGGCTTGATATTTTTGAGCCAACTTGTTCTTGACTGTAGGATGCAGGAAATTTAATTTCTTTTTAAATTCATTCATGGGATGTGGGTGTCACTGGCTGGACCAGCATTTATTGCCCATCCCCAAGTGCTGAGAGGGCAGTTAACAGCCAACCGTAGGTCTGGAGTCACATGTAGTCCAGATGAGGTAAGGATAGTAGTTTCCTTCCCTAAAGGACATTATTGAACCAGATGGGTTTTTCCTGAGAATCGATAATGGTTTCATGGTCATTATTAGACTCTTAATTCCAGATTATTATTGAATTCAAATTCCACTATCTGCCATGGCAGGATTCGAACCCAGGTCTCCACAACATTTCTTGAGTGTCTGGATTAATAGTCTAGGAAGTGCATGTAGCTGCTCCTTAGTAAACCTGTTTATGTGCTGACAGGTTTCATCTATCAATTTCTTTTATATTCTTCATTCACTCTCTGCTTTAATTATTCCTTTTCTTTAAACAGCGCAACTTTTGCCCCCTCCCTTCTGCTAATGCTGAACACCAAAGAGTTCCATCAGACTAATTTGCATTGTTAATAATGTGTTACTCATCATCCATAAAGAAGCATTCACTTTGAATTTTTCTTAAGTCATGTAACTGAGATTGGAGCCTACCAGTTAATATTGAGAATTAAGCCATGTCCTGCTACCCAGTGATTCATCTCCAAATCCTGTGAATCTGTCAAGAACGACATTTGTTCATTGGTGTAGAGGGTACAATGTTTTGGAGTAAGTAACCATAATCTGAGAGTGAAGAATTACTGTGGGTCTGATTGGATATTAAACACTGAGTTGTCAGTCCCATGTAACATGGAGTTACAAGCTGACTTGTAACATGGATCCCTTGGGTGGCTCAGAGGTGTTACTGTGGAGAACTGGAGCTGTTTGTGCTCTTGTGCCAGTAATGGTGATAGAAAAGGAATATGTAACTTTGTAGAAAGTAAAACTACATAATACATTACCCCAAGGCTATGAGTTTCTATCTTGTGCAATAACTGATAAGATGCCACATAAAAGGTTATTGCATAAGAAAGAAACACTTGGTATTGGGGGTAATGTATTAGCATGGATTGAGGATTGTTTACCACACAAGACAGTCAGAATTAATGGGTCTTTTTCATGTTGGAAAGACTAAACTAGTGGAGTGTGGCAAGGATCAATCCTAAAGTCTCAATTATTTTTATTTGTATTAATGAATTGAAGACGCAGCAGAGGGTGTCGTATCCAAATTTGCTGATGAGACCAAAATAGATAGGAGGGCATGATGAGGACAAATGGAATCTGCAAGGGGGTACAGATAGGTTGAGTGAGCAGACAAAGACTTGGCACATCAAGTTTAATCTAGGAAAGTAGTATGTCATGTAGTTTGGTAGAAAGAATCAAAAGCAGACTGTTGTTTAACTGAAGAGAGCTCCCAATACATGCAGCACAGAGCGATCTGGCTGGTGTGTGTGAAACGCAAAATGTTAGCATGTAAATGCGGCAAGTAATTAGAAGGAAAATGGAATTTTGGCCTTGATTGCTGGGGATTAGAGTCGGGCAAGTGGTGAGTATTCCATCAAATTCCTGATTTGTGTATTGTAGATGGTGGACAGGCTTTGGAGAGTCAGGAGGTGAGTTACTTGCTGAAGTATTCCCAGCTCCTGACCTGCTCTTGCAGCCACTGTGCTTAAATGGCGAGTCCAGTTGAGTTTCTGGTCAATGGTAACTCCAAGGATGTTGATAGTGGGGGATTCAGTGATGGTAACACCATTGAATGTCATGGGGCGGTAGTTCAATTTGTCTCTTCTTAGAGATGGACACAGACTGGTATTTCTGGTGTGAATGTTATTTGGCACTTGTCATTTGGATATTGGCCAGACCTTGCTGCATCTGAACATGAACTGCATCAGTATAAGGATCACGACTGGTGCTGAACATTGTGCAATCATTGGCAAACATCTCAACTTCTGATGTTATGATGGAGGAAAGGTCATTCTTGAAGTAGCTGAAGATAGTTAGGTCTAGGATACTACCCTGAGGATCTCCTGCAGAGAGATCCTGGAGCTGAGATGATTGACCTCTGACAACAACAACCATCCTACTATGTGCTCGGTATGACTCTGAATTTGCCCCCCCGATACGCAGTGGTTTCAGTTTTACTGTGTCTTCTTGATGATACGTTTCATTGAATGCAGCCTTTATGTCAGGGGCTATCACTGTCAACTCTGGAGTTAGCTGTCTTGTCAATGTTTGAATTAAGGCTATAATGAGATCAGGAGTTGAGTGGCCCTGGTGGAACTCAAACTGGGCGTCACTGAGCAAGTGCTCCCTGTAGCATTGTTGATGACACTTTACTAATAATTGAGAGTAAACTGATGTGGCAGTAATTGGCCAGGTTGGATTTGTCTTGCTTTTTGTGTACAGGACATACCTGGGAACTTCTCCACATTACTGGGTAGATGCCAGTGTTGTAACTGTATCTGAAGAGCCTGGAGTACTGTGTACAGTTTTGGTTCCTGTATTTAAAGAACGGCGACATTGTTATTGGAAGTAGTTCAAGAGATTCGCCAACAAACACAAACGAATGCTGGAGAAACTCGGCAGGTCTGATAGAATCATTGGCAAGAGAAACACTGAACGTTTCGAGTCCAGTCTGACTTTTTTGCACTGCTCTGATTCCTGGGATGAAAGGGTCAATTTATCAATTATATTTTAGGCCTTTATTCGCTAGAGTTTAGAAGAAAGAAGGTTGATCTTATTGAAGTGTTTTTATTGAGATGTGTGAGGAAAGATTGTTACATAGAGGGTGGTAGGAGCCTGGAATGCACTGCTAGAGGAGATGGTAGAGCAGGGACGGTAGCAACATTTAAGAGGCACTTAGACAGATACATGAACAGGCAGGGAATAGAGGGATACAATTCATTTGCAGGCAGATGGGATTAGTTTAGAATGACATCACTGTCAGCACAGACAGTGGGTAGAATGGCCTGTGACTGTCCTGTAGTGTTCTATGAAAGAAGACTTTGAGGAGCCTTGACTGGGGATGTTAAGATGTTTGAACTAGCGGACATAGTCCCATAATAAGGAGACACTTGTTTAAAATTGAGATGCAAAGAAATTTCTTCTCTGAGGGTCATGACTGGCTGGAATTCCCTGCTTCCCAGAGAGCTTTGGAGGCTGGATCACTGAAAGTATTTAGAAAGGAGTTAGATAAATTTTGTAAAATATTGGTGAGCTGTGTGCTAGGAAGAGCTGGCATGAAAGAGGAGTTGAGGCTTGGGGCAAATTGAGACAGGATCTCATTGAATGGCGAGGCAGGCTTGAAGGGTCAGAATGCCTGGTTGTGCTCCAATTTCTTATGTTCTTAATGCAAAATATTGCCTGTGCCTTCACTAAAACATAACAGCAAAGTTTGGATACTGCCTGAATAAAATTACTTTATTCCTCTTTCCATTGTTCCCATTTCTATGTGAGACAATACCTTTCTCCTCTCTGATATTTGGTAATTATATTGCAGAACAAGATGAAGAAGAAGCCAGCACTGGTTCTCATCTGAAACTGATAGTGGATGCTTTCCTGCAGCAGCTGCCTAACTGTGTCAACCGTGACCTGATAGACAAGGTACTTTCAGAATCACGTTTCATATCGAAGCTTTTGCAGAATTTGTGCAGTTTCCATTTCTTTGTGTGCATGACTTCACTTATCTGCTGTTAACCAAGTAGGATTTGTAGATTTTCCTTTGCAGTGGAAGAATCCAACATTAATCTCTGTCCTGCTACAGTCTTGTTTATCAAGTGTTTATTAAATTTTCTCTTCAAAGATGCCGTAATCCCTGCCTCATGCACGCTCTGAAGCAAGGTGTGTGATGCCGCATGACTGAAATTTATCCATTCCCTTAATGATGATTTTTAATTGACTCCCATAAATTGTTCGTATTCTGTTTTAGTGAAATTATATCATCTCAGTCATCTGTAATCCCTATACATAATGTAACAATGGACCTAGCAGATGCATGAGTTGCAGTCATTCTTTAATTCCAGCAACTTCAATGATCTGAATTCTTCATTTCCTGTTGGCTAGTTTTCTCAGTATATTTCCCTTGATGCTAAGCACAAGAATTTTCAGACCCCCTTAAACTGTTTATAAAAATCCATTTTCCCTTTATTTGTCCAATAGGTCACATCTTCAAAGTTGTCAAATGTTACTCTTAACTAATGCATGAATTTCCAAACACATACTAATTGCATCTTAAGTTATCGAATTTACACACAACAAATGGGCTCTGTTTATTTTTCTCTCCCTTTTTTGATGGAGTAGCGTCTCATACTTGCTGGTGTGAATTTGCAAGTGCCACTTTCTGCAGTTGATTGGCTTTGCATTGATGATACCACGGAGTACCTTTGCAGTAAAAGGAAGCTCTACTTGCAAATTCCAGCATTTAAAAACAGTTTCTTGAAAAGGAAATGAAATTAGGGGTATTTCAAATTTTAACGTGCTGCTTAATGTTATTTCTGTTCTTAAGCCAGAAATGATTTGATCCTTCTTTGTCCAGGTTTGTGTTGTCTCACCTTTTGAAGTGAGTCTTTTCTGTAGTATGCATGGAATAGAAATCTGTAAATGGAAATGCAGTTTTTTTATATTCGGACCCTGTTTTACTGTTGTCTTTATTATCTACATGCACCACTCTGATCCTTCTGTGCTAGAATTCGCAAAATTTATGCTGTTCATAGAACATTACAGCGCAGTACAGGCCCTTCGGCCCTCGATGGTTTCACAGGTCAGCGCAACAATCTGAAGCCCATCTAACCTAAACTATTCCATTATCATCTATATGTTTATCCAATGACCATTTAAATGCCCTTAAAGTGGGCGAGTCTACTATTTTTGCAGGCAGGGCATTCCACGCCCTTACTACTCTCTGAGTAAAGAACCTACCTCTGACATCTGTCCTATATCTATCACCCCTCAACTTAAAGCTATGTCCCCTCGTGCTAGCCATCACCATCCGAGGAAAAAGGCTCCCACTGTCCACCCTATCTAATCCTCTGATGATCTTGTATGTCTCTATCAAGTCACCTCTTAACCTTCTTCTCTCTAACGAAAACAGCCTCAAAACCCTCAACCTTTCCTCATAAGACCTTCCCTCCATACCAGACAACATCCTGGTAAATCTCCTCTGCACTCTTTCCAGTGCTTCCACATCCTTCCTATAATGCGGTGACCAGAACTGTACGCAATACTCCAAGTGCGGCCGCACCAGAGTTTTGTACAGCTGCAACATGACCTCATGGCTCCGAAACTCAATCCCTCTACCAATAAAACCTAACATACCGTACGCCTTCTTAACAACGCTATCAACCTGGGTGGCAACTTTCAGTGATCTATGCACATGGACACCGAGATCTTTCTGCTCATCCACACTACCAAGAATCTTACCATTAGCCCAGTACTCTGTATTCCTGTTACTCCTTCCAAAGTGAATCACCTCTCACTTTTCCGCATTAAACTCCATTTGCCACCTCTCAGCCCAGCTCTGCAGCTTATCTATGTCCCTCTGTAACCTACAACATCCTTCTGCACTATCCACAACTCCACCGACTTTTGGTGTCATCCGCAAATTTACTAACCCATCCTTCTATGCCCTCATCCAGGTCATTTATAAAAATGACAAATAGCAGTGGCCCCAAAACAGATCCTTGAGGTACACCACTAGTAACTGAACTCCAGGATGAACATTTCCCATCAACCACCACCCTCTGTCTTCTTACAGCTAGCCAACTTCTGATCCAAACCGCTAAATCACCCTCAATCCCATGCCTCCGTATTTTCTGCAATAGCCTACCATGGGGAACCTTATCAAACGCTTTACTGAAATCCAAATACACCACATCAACCGCTTTACCCTCATCCACCTGTTTGGTCACCTTCTCGAAGAACTCAATAAGGTTTGTGAGGCACGACCTACCCTTCACAAAACCGTGTTGACTATCCCTAATCAAATTATTCCTTTCTAGATGATTATAAATCCTATCTCTTATAATCCTTTCCAACCCTTTACCCACAACCGAAGTAAGGCTCACTGGTCTATAATTACCAGGGTTGTCTCTACTCCCCTTCTTGAACAAGGGGACAACATTTGCTAGTCTCCAGTCTTCTGGCACTATTCCTGAAGACAATGGCGACATAAAGATCAAAGCCAAAGGCTCTGCAATCTCCTCTCTAGCTTCCCAGAGAATCCTAGGATAAATCCCATCCGGCCCAGGGGACTTATCTATTTTCACACCTTCCAGAATTGCTAACACCTCCTCCTTATGAACCTCAATCCCATCTAGTCTAATAGACTGTATCTCAGTATTCTCCTCGACTACATTGTCTTTTTCCTGCGTGAATACTGACGAAAAATATTCATTTAGCACCTCTCCTATCTCTTCGGACTCCACGCACAACTTCCCACTACTGTCCTTGACCGGCCCCAATCTTACTGTAGTCCTCCTTTTATTCCTGACATACCTATAGAAAGCTTTAGGGTTTTCCTTGATCCTACCTGCTAAAGACTTCTCATGTCCCCTCCTGGCTCTTTTTAGCTCTCTCTTTAGGTCCTTCCTGGCTAACTTGTAACTCTCACTTGGAATGTTGTTTTTGTAACACACTACTGGCATCTTTTCTGGCCCAGAAAGCAATTTTCTTCAGTTCCCCCCCTGCTCATTGTTACAAATTCACTTCCCCCTGCTTATTTGTTACGAATTGTTAAGAATTGTGTACCTTTTGCTTTCAGAGTTACCTTAGTGGACAGAAAAGAGATTGGAATCAGGTTCCAAATGCTCCCATTATCTGTTAATGGTTTAAACTTCATTCTTAATTCTGTGTCATAGTAATTAAGTACAGAACAATTGAAAACTTTTATTTTGGAGTAATAAATAATATTGAAAGTGAAATTTCTCTTAATGTCAAAGTGGTAATGCAGTAGTTTTTTTTTGAAAATAGGGCACTTTTTTATATTTATTGAGAGCCTGATGATGCAACCCTTCATAGACACAAGCATTCACAAGTTATTTTGACTGAGACTATCTGTTTGATCTTTTCACTAATGACTCCACTAACTAGCATAAATTCACTCAGGTTTTGCATTCACTTTAAGGAAAGTTACAATGAACTTTTTTAAAAAAGAATTGTTTCAATACAAATGTCCAATTACTTTTTTTAAAAAAGACTCATGCTTGTTTAAAATCGTTAACACTGTTAACTGCAACACAGTTTTTCATATTAGAAGATAAGACCATCCAAATTTGATGACGTTGACAGTTGAATTTACAAAAAAAACTCGTGAGTCATCAAATCTATTTATTTCTTTTTACTCAGGCTGCAATGGACTTCTGCATGAACATGAACACGAAAGCTAATCGAAGGAAGTTAGTCCGAGCACTGTTCACTGTGCCCAGGCAGAGGTTGGTGTTTGATTGTTGTGGCACCTTTTTGATGGATTTAAGTTGGAAGAGATTTTTGTGTTTTTCTTGATCTTGGGATGTGGGTGACATTGGCAAGATAACTTGTAATACCCAACTCTGCTGCCTTGAGAAAGCGGGAGTGAATCTTTCTCCATGCCCTACTGTAATTCTGGTGCTCCCACAATGGTATTTGAAAAGAATTTTAGGCTTTTGTCTAGTGCTGTATAAGGAGCAGTCATTATACATCATATCTAAGAAGAGAACTTGGATGTAATGCTATTTGCATGGCATTGCTGTTCTTGTCCTTCTAAGTGGTGGATTTTTGTGTCCTTTTTTTTAAAATGAAAGAGTACAATGTGGTTTAAATTGTGCTACCTGTTTACAGCCATGGATAGCTTGTGGAGTTTGCTGAAAGCAATCAAGGCCAAAACATTGTATGATTTCATGAAGGAGTTGAATATAGCCTTTGAGGCTAAAGGGATCAAAGGATATGGAGTATAAGTGCTAACAGACTATTAAGTTAGATGAACAATCACGATCATAATGAATTGCATGGCAGGCTCGAAGGCTGAATGGCCTACCTTTGCTATTCGCTGTGCTTGTGAATTAAAGTTACTGAAGGAATGTTACTTTGGAGGTGCTGCCTTTCGATGATGTATTAAATTAGGGTCTCTGGTGGATGTGAAAGACTCTCTGGCACTTTCAAAGAACAGTAGGGGAGTTATCCTTGGTATCCTAGCCAATATGTCTCTGTCAACCAACATTGCTGAAGTAGATGATCTGATCATTTTTCATATTACTGCTTGTGGGGCCTTGCTGTATGTAACTTGGCATTAAAATGATGACTATGCTTTATTGATTGCAAAGTCCTTTGGGTATATTTGAGGTCATTAAACACAATTATAAATGCCAGATTTCCATTCTTATAATAACTGAACAATGGTCTTTATTACTGCAGTTTGTTCCTCGTATGTTATTCATAGATGCAACATTCTTCTCCCAGCAACTTAGAAAGTTGCATCTACAAGATACATTCAGCAATGCACCCAGGCTCATGCAATAATGCCTTCTGTACTCGTACTGTCTCAAAGGACAAGGGCAACAGACACATGGGAACACCACTTCCTGCAATATCCCTTCAAGCTGTACACCATCCTGACTTGGAATTACATCGCCGTTCATTCACTGTCACAGTGTCAAAATTATGAAGATCCCTCTCTAATACCACATGATAGTAGCTGTTCAAGAAGGCAGCCCACCACCACTTCCTCAAAGGAAATTAGGGATGTGCAATAAATCTTGGTCCAGCCAATGATGCCTGCATCCTATGAATGAATTTAAGAAATACTGACTACAACCTCATTTCAGGTGATGCATTTTGACTTTAGAGAGTCCTCTGGCTGGTGCACTATAAATTATACGCTATAAGTGGGTGAGCTTCCTTTTTGGCCAGCCAATTCTGTGAAATTATAATGAGGCCCAAGTGTTTAAAAAACAGTTTTTGGTAGAAATAGTGATTTTAAAGCTAAACCAAAACCTACCTGATGCACACTAGCCAGCGATTTCTTTATAGTAACCTTTAAGTCAAGCTTTAGTTTGTTCTAATAAGAAATTGTGTATAGTAAATTATATGGTCTTGTATTTATAGTTGCCTTTATGTGCCTTGATATGTATCTGAGAACATTTATTTAATTGCAACCTGCTGCATTTTGCAGTAGAGGGCACAAGAGGCCATCTTTTGCAGTGAACATAATGTATGCTGTCTTTCATCTGAATTTATATATAGTATCATAGAACAGTCTCTTTCTATGCTACAACTATTCAGCCCACTTCTTTTGTAATATATTTTTCTGGTATTCTGTGTACAATTCAACATCTTATTTAGACTTTGCCTTGATTAGAACTCGACCTATGGGCTACCTTACCAAAAATCTGTGGGGATTTGATTAAATACTGTATTTCATATTGTAAGATTTCATTATACTTTTGACGTACCATATTTGGAGAATAGGAATTCCATCCAGACCTACAATCCAGCTACTGATGCCTGATGTTCTGATATCCAGGTGACCATCGATTTTTTTAAACGAGAAGTGATTGTTACTTTAGTGAGATTGTACCACAGGTCCCTTTATTGTGAGAAGGCCATGCAAGAGGAAATTTATAGATGGATTGTGGAGATGAATAAGGTTAACACAACTACCCAATTACTATTAGGACAATGAGGAACAATTAGGAGAAAAGGGAGATAAGCACAGTGCTGGAGAAACTCAGCAGGTCTAGCAGCAACTGATGAGAGGGAAGCGAGTGAAAGATCCTATGGCACTATTTATAGGAACGGTAATAAGTTATCCCTGGTATCTTGTCCAATACTAAAACTTCAAGCAACATCACAGAAGGAGATGGAACTGGCTATTTTGACATTGCTGCTTATGGGACCTCGCTGTAGCTTTTTTCTCCTGTGTTAAAACAATGACTAAGCTTCAAAAATAATAGTCCATTGATATACCCAAAGGACTTCAGAATCAATGAAGTAGTTAGATCTACTGTTCTTGGGGATTGCCATTTGTCTGGCACTTATGTAGCATGTATGTTACTTGCCACTTGATCAGCCCAAATTGGATGTTGTTCTGATCTTGCTGCATATGGACATGGACTGCTTGAGTTTCTGATGAGTGGCAAATGGAGCTGAATGCTGTCTAATCATCAGTGAACATCCCCACTTCTGACCTGATAGAGGGGAAGTCATTGTTGAAGCAGATGATGATGGTTGGGTCTAGGACATGACCCCCAAGGAACTCCTGCAGTAATATCCTGGGACTGCGATGATTGACCTCTGACAACCACAGCTGACTTCTTTGTGATAGGTATGACTCCAAACACTGGAGAGTTGTTTCCTTGATTTCAGCTGTTTCTAGTTTTCTTATGGATTCTGCCAACGTTTCCTTTATGTTAAAGGCAATTACTCGCACCTCCCCCCAAGATTTCAGTTCTTTTGTCGATGTTTGGACCAAGACATTAATGATGTTAGCAGCTGAGTGGCCCTGTCGGAATCAAAGCTGGCAGCATTGAGTGGGTTATTTCTTTGCAAGTGCCGTTTGACAGCATTATTGACCACCCTTTCCATCACTTTGCTTATGAGAAGGTGGTGATTGATTGGGTTGGATTTGTCCTTTTGTGTTGTGGACAGGACATAGCTGAATAGTTTACAACATTGTCAGGTAGCAAACTGTGTTGCAGCTGTACAAGAACAGCTTATCTGGGGTTGTGGCTAGTTCTGATCAGAAAACCATAACATGTAGGAGCAGAAATTGCCCGTTCAGCCCATTGAATGGTGAAGCAGATTCAGTGAGATCATGGCTAGTTTGATAATCCTCAACTCCATTTTACTGCCTTTTTCCCCAAAACAATTGATTCCCTTACTGATCAAAAATCTCTCGATCTCGACCTTGAATGTACTTAACCCAGCATCTATGGCCCTCCGTATTAAAGAATTTCACAGATTCACTACTCCCACACTTAAACTGAATATTAAATTCTACCATGTTATGGTGACTGTTCCCTTCTACCCCAGTATGGTGCCAGTGCCCCGTGAATTGAACTCCATTCCACCCGCTTGTACCTGAATGTGGCGCTGATGTGCTGGGCTCATGGTTCAGGATGGGAATATTTATGAGGCTGCCTCCTGTGGGACAACATACCCAGGGGTGCAGATGGTGGTCTTGGATTTTGTGCAGTGTTGAATGTCTTAAATATGTCTGTCACACTGTTTCTTGACTAATCTGTGGAGCAGCTCTCCCAATTTTGATACAAGCTGTTTATAAGGAGGATCTTTAATGGTTAATGGGGCTGGTTTGCTGTTGTAATTTCCAATACCATAAACAATGCCGGTGGTCTGAGTGGATTTGATACAACTGAATGGTCTACCAGGCCATTTAAATGTTAGCCACACTGGGCTGGAAGCCAGAAGACCCAGATAAAGGCTTCTTCCCTGAAAGAAATGAATGAATGTGGCAATAGACGATGATTTTAATTTTTAATTTCAGATTTATCAAATTGAACAAATTTCATCATCTGTCATGGTGAGATTCAAACTTCTACCCCTAAAACTTTAATCTTGGACTTGATTACAATTTGACTGATATTACCAGTGCGCACAGCCTTCCCCTTCATAGGATCTGGAATAACCTCTATAGAAGAGGAGAGGAAATTGAAGGAGGAGTAATTCCTGAATTATATAAAACTTAAACGTGCATTTTTTTTTAAACCAGGTAGTATTAGAATAGTTAATTAGGCACTCTGCCCTCCTTTAGCCTGTATTGGATTAAGTACCTCCAGAATTCTCAGATAAAGTAATACAGAAATCTTCAAAATTATATTACAGGGTTCTTGTGGAAAAATGCATTCCAGAGGCCAGGCAAAGGGCCAATGAACCACCTGTTTGCTGAAAGGGAGACAGCTAATCTGGCTAATTCAGACCAGTTAGTTTAACATGTGACAGGAAGGTCTTTGAAATGTTTGAAGATTAAATTACTAAATATCTAGACGGATAGAAATAATTAGCTGCCAACAAGGATTTCTGTAAGGAAGGTAGTAATTGGCAAGATGGCCAGTATGGTTTATGTGGGAAATGTAGTAGATGACCATATCAGTAAGCCCTTGACAAAATATTGAAGGACTGTATTGGCAAAGAAATATAGGGAACTGTGTGAGGTGCAGAAGAGTAACGAGGTTAAAATTGTTCGAAAGGATGAAAAGGCGACTGGTAGATATCAGGTTTCTCGGACCAAGTTGAGTTCTCATAGATGGTTTTGTTTTAGTACTACATCTGTTTATCGTACCTGTCACTGATTCAGATATTTAACTTTGTGAGAGTGGCAGGTGGTGTAAAATAGGAGATGAGATGCAATGCCAATCCTTGATAAGACTGCAGTGGATGACCGTGTGTAGTGCAGCTTTTCATTCCATGCTATAGGAAGTCTCTTCAGGCAATTGTGAAGTCACAAAACGTTCACTTGGATGTACTTCATATTAGGAACCACGATATATGAAATGCAACTTGGAATAATAGAAAAAAAGAGAGACAAAGACGGATAGATGGATATTCGCAGTCAGTGAAGCACTTTTAAAGTGTGGCCACTATTGTCACACAGGGAAATCTGGCAATTAATTTAGACAAGATCCCACATTGAGTTAAAAAACAGAAAACCTGTTTTCCGTATCGATTGAGGAATGAAAGCATAAAGTATTATTTTCACTGCTAATGGTTACTTAGAGTGGTTATTTTTCTAATCATGTCTTAATTATATCTGGTTTATGACAGTTCATTATCTCTTCTATTATTTCCATATAGAATTGATTTTATATGTTCACTCTAGAGGATGTTGTGGGGAGATTAATTTCTTTTGAGGGTCGTTGTTAGATGTTAACGCTGTTTCCTTTGTACAGATGCTACCAGACCTGATATTATTCTGGGTTAATTCGGTTGTCCAGGACATGTAGGATAAACTCCCTGCCTCCTTTTTGAATAGTGCCAAAGGAATTTTTACATCAATTTGAGTGTGTAAATGGAGCCTTTTATTACCCTATCAAAAAGTGGTATCTCTAACAGTGTAGAACCACATTAAAATGTCAGCTTAAATTATGTACATAAGTTTCTGGAGGTGTACTTTAACCCGTATCCCTCTGGCTCAAAGACAAGAGTACAAACAACTGAGCTGTGATTATTCTTGATGCCTGTTCTTTTAAAAACAGAGGTTACTGTGCATATTTTAGAATTAGGAACATGTTGCGTAATTAGAAATCTAGAGTGAGGGAATATGGATAATATAAAATTCACTGAAGGATTTTGGACTAAACAAGGAGGAAACTTCTTCCAAAGAGGATAGTGAAGGTGTGGAATATACAGTGAGCCGGTGTTTGCAGCAGTATTGATTAAGGTATGACACAGAGAAGTGGGACCAGCACAGCAGCGTGGGATATAGAGGATAAACAACATGGGCAGGATATGCCAAACATTGTATTTTGTGCTGTAAAATCTTTGTTCTGTACTAGAGAACTGTATGAAATTATGATTCAGAAGGTCTTCATGCACTTTCAAATAGTTGAAGAATGCATTTGGTATGTAATGTAACTATGTAAAATTAACTGAAAAAAAGTGGCTGGTTTAACAAGGGAAGTTATTAAAAAGTTTTATAGTCTTGCTGTTGATTGTGGTTAGTTCTCTAATGACGTGTTTCGGATTTGGTTTGTAATAAGTTATTTATTGCAGTGATGGACTTTACAGATTTCGGAATGCATCCCCAGTGTTTGGAGATGTGGATAAATGAACTTTGGTTTTGAAAGTCAGGGCTATCATAGTTTCTGCTGGCTTAGAATGGCTTAATGATTAACTATGCCAAACGTGCAAAATATACATAGGTGACATTTTCTTGAGTGTTATACCATTAAAGTAATTTTTAAGGATAGTTTTTTTGGGATGGAGTAGTTGGTCAAGAAAAGATCATTTCAGTATATGACAGATTGGTATTGTTTTTAAAAGGCACCTGCAGTTGAAACATCCTTTTAAAAAAAACCTTAATCATCTGACTAGCTTGGCAATGTTTTATAAATGCAGAATAGCCTAGTTGAGAGAGTTGGTCAAAAGATTCTTTAATGGTGAAAATTAATTTGTGCCAAAGTGACTGTGAAAACTGTGTTGAACTTGTGTTCATGACCGTCAAATTCAACTCATTAATAGGAGTGATGCTTTTTATGTGCACAGAAAGAAAACTCTTTTTAAAAATTGCAAAATGTATATGTGGAGCATTGCTGTGGTTTATAGAACTTGGAGTAGTCCACTCGTACAATCTTAATGACTTAAGTTGTCTCCTTTTATTCAAGAAAACTGTCTGCATTTAGAAAACAGCATTGACTGTTCACCATTGCTACAGACTTGCATTACAAAGGCCAGCTAATTTGGGCACCTCTGGTTGTTTGGAATTGATTTTTTTGTTGGTCGTACTTTGTTTTGTGAACACTTAGTGGCTTTAGAATCAATATTGCTTGTAAGTATTGTTTTTCGTAGAGCTATGCAAATAATTCTTTATACTTGTAATAATATCTTATTGATAATGCTAATCTTGGCATCATTTTGGGAGTTCATTTAGGAACTAATCAAATGTTGCACCAACCATCATATTGGCAGGCAAATCGGATGAACTGTCCTGCTATAGGCTGCATGACAGTAAAACTGTTTTTGACATTCAAAAGTTTTGTATCTGTAGACTTTGTCTGTCAGTAGTGAAAGGAAACTAGCTCTGGAGTGAAGCTGTAGACAAAAGATCTAACTAAGAGGGATTTGGGTCATTCTGACCTTGGGGATAAGGGTGCTGTTACTGGAGTAAGTTTTTTGTTTTGAGTTGAGTCTAGACATCCCATATCTGACATGGTATCATCAAAGGTAGCCTTCACCTTTTGAATACCCGCCAAAAAAACTGTTTTTAATTAAAGAGGCAATCTAGAGTAAAAACTTTTAATATTTCAGTTGAACTGATAATCTAGCAAGTAAATTTTTATAACTCCCCTCTTGTTAAACCAGTCACTTTTTTTCAGTTAATTTTAAACATGTTTATAGTCTGTGCATTTATTGAATGATCAGGTCATCTCTTCTCGGGTTTAATTGTGCTGTAAACACCTATTGTGTTTTGTTAATATTGAATGTTTCAGAAAATGATTTAAGAACAAGAAATGTATTTTTGAAGAAAACCTTTAATAGCATTTTAGCATTAATACAGAATAGCTTGTTCCTGGTATATGAAATGCTTCATATCATTTAACAACTTCCTGCCCCCTTTAGGTTGGACCTACTTCCATTTTACGCCCGTCTGGTTGGCACTTTATATCCATGTATGACAGATGTGGCAGAAGACCTTTGTGCCATGTTAAAAGGAGACTTCAGATTCCATGTAGGTTTTAGACTTTTTTGGGGAGAATACTGCTTTGCATTTTTCTGTAAATATTTGGTACAAAAGAACTATTTGTTTCAAATTAATTTTGCTGTTGTGGCATAGCACATATATCGTAATAGTATTCAGTATGTAATTGACTGTACTATAAAAGTACTGATCACCTTTGTTAGTACAGTATTATGATGACATTGTAAGTGCCTGAGAGTCATTGGTATCCATATGTAGTCTAAAATGTTTCATTGTACACTTTAGGTCAGGAAGAAGGATCAGATCAACATTGAAACTAAAAACAAAACTGTACGTTTCATAGGAGAATTAACAAAGTTTAAAATGTTCTTGAAGAGCGATTCACTTCATTGTCTAAAGGTCAGTCTGGAATGATTTTATCCATATGTTATCCATCTGTCTGATCTTCATTTGAACTGAAATTTCATATAATAATCAACTATTTCTGAGCATATCCTGTTGTTTGTTTAATGGTGTCAAGTAGAATCTGTTATCTTAGTTACTCTGTCTTTGCACTGTCATGGGTAGTAAGGTCACAATTTTGTGACACACAAGGGGTCAAAGTGAAAAGAAATTGCTACTCATGCATGGCTGTGGCCAAGAATCTTAATTATGGGAAACGTGGATTGTGATCGCAACTTTTTTTCCTAAACCTTTAATTTTTGGTTAACAAAAATCTAGTTTCTGATATAAAATTCGTAGTTAATTGCCATTTGCAGAAGTGTTCTAAACATCTAATGCCTCTGATGTGTAGAAGTGTTTCACAATTTTACTCCTGAAGCTTTTTGGACAATCCCATCTCCCTAGTCCTAGACTGTCCAACCAATGAAAATAGTTGAAGTTCTATCTACCCTGTCTGTATCCCTTAACATTTTAAAAACTTCAATCAAATCACCCTTCAACTGACTGAATTCCAAAGAATTCAACACTTGTTTGTGTAAACCCTCTTGAAACTTAACCATTGCAGTTCAGATCTGTGGGATTGTGTATCAACAATGATCGGGATTGATGAGTGGCAAAAATAGCCTCTTTATTGAGCATCCGCTGTAGCACAGTTTGAGGTGGGGATGGAATCTGAAGTACAGTTTTACAGTGGCCTCTTTATACAATTCTTGTGTACATTAAAATTTTTACACTATGATGTTACATAGTTGTATCTATTGTACACAAAAGTTTGCATGACATCTGTCCTAGGGGAGCAGGAGATGGTTTAAGCACTTGCTAAATGCTGGCTGTTACTCCTGATGGGATTACAATGTCTGACCGGTCTGAGCTTGCATAATCAAGAGGTGTTAGTCCTTTTTGACTTTAAAGTTAGTAATGTTAGTAAAAATACCAGACCCAATCTGATCTAAATAAGTGAGAAATTATATGTGTACTAAATAAAAGTATGAAGGATATTAAACTGATCTCCCACGGCTGGGTCATGCGATTTCATTTATTATTGCAGCTTTTGATAATTCTTACACATTCGTTCATGCAGTTTTCACGGGAGCACTGTTTTGATAGGAAGTTTCTTAGAGGGGGCAGCAGCCCTATTTAACATGTATCTAAAAAATCCATACAAGTGGAGGAAACTGTTTGATGTCTGCAACCTATTCGGGTGCTGAGAGTCAGTTGCTAAGGGCTAATTAATATTATAATCTTTCCGTAGTTTTGAGTTATGGGGTTATGGAGACACAATGGCGGGGATGGCATTGTTCTGTGCGGGCTACGTCATTAACACTTATTCTGGGGGAGCCTTTGATGCATAAACAGGGCTGACAAGAATTGAAAGGTGTAAAGAAACAGTAATGGGTTTGAAGGATGTTTCATTTTAGTTTATAAAATGTACTACAAAACGCGGTTTTATGAATGAATGAGCAGTTGTGAGTGAGTTAGTAAAGCGAATCATAACACAAATCTCACAGATATCATTCTGGTAAGCCGATGATTCATGCTCCCTCAATGCTCGTAACCTTAGATGTAGTGCTCAGAGTTTCTCTCAGTACTCAAGACATGATTCAAGGTAATGTTTAGCTCCTGCTTCCTTGATTTGTAACTCTCTGGCTACAGAAGCTATTTTCTGTATTTGTTCATGTCATTTTTTTTTGATCTATGTTCCTGGCCTCCAGAGTGATTTTGGACCTCCGTTGTTTCTAGATTACACTGTTTTGGAAGTATCCTTTCTTTCAAAATCGATGAACTCCTATTTGTCTGCAGTGAAATCCTTTTGCCTATTAGTTGCACCTTCACTTAATCTATTTAATTTCTCTTTTGTAATGTTATACTTCATTAAAGTACATTAATTGCAATACACCTATTCATGCATTACCAGCAAACATGGATATGTGGATTTCTGTCCAATCATCTAAACCATTAATAAATAAACTGTATGGTTGAGACCCCAACATGCTTCTTGCAGTATCCTACTTGTCATAGCCTGCCTGCCACAGTGGCTGCTGTTACTCCTGTTCTGCTGATGTTCTAACAAGGTCAATAATCTGTATTTAGCTCTGAGCTTTAATTTAGCGAGTAATCTCTCACGAGGGACTTCATGTGGGCCTCTAGAAGACAATTTGATAAATAACATCCAAAGATATCCTCCATCCACTACCTGAATTATCTTTTCAAAACATTATGAGGACTACAGGATGATTATAGATTGACTATCAGTTGGGCAGAATAGTGGCAAATGGAACTTAATCTTGAAAAATGTGAGGTGATGCATTTTGGGAGCACCAGCATGGTAAGGGAATATATGACGATTGGCAGGACCCTGAGAAGTATTCAGGATCAGAGAGATATTGGTGTGCATGTCTGTAGTTTCTTTTAAGACAGCAATGTAGCTAAGGTGCTTAAGAAGGCATATGGCAAAATTTCCTTGAATTTGGATGAGGCAGTAAATACAAGAGCAGGAAGATTATAATGGAGTTGTGTAAAATATCATTTAGGCCATAATTGGAGTACTGTGCACTATTTGGTTGCCATACTCTAGGAAGAACGTGATTGCATTAGAGAGGGTACAGAGGAGGTACCAGGATAGAGCAATTCAGTAATACGTGACTCAATAGGTTGGGGCTGTTTTCTTCAGAGCAGAGAAGGCTGGGATTACCGGAGTGGAGAGTGAATAACATTGAGGAGCAGAGGTAAGATAGATAGGAAGAAACCTTTGCCCTTAGTTGAGGTGTCAATAACCAGATTTAAGACAAGGAGCAAGAGGTTTGAAGAGGATTTGAGGAGAAAACTTTTCACCCAGATGGTGGCGGGGTGATCTGGAACTTATGCCTGAAAGGGAGGTCGCGGTAGGAACACTCAACATTTTAGGAAGTATGTAGATGAATACTCAACGCCACAACATGCAAAGCTACGGGACAAGAGCTGAAAAGTGGCATTAGATAGATCTTCGTGTTGTGAAACTCTTTTTGACTCTAAGTTGACTCTCTGATTACAAATCCATGCTAACTTTCTGTGATCAGATGAAGATTTATCTACTGTTCATTCTTGCTATCTATTATTATAAACTCTAGTAACTTTCTGACAACAGCAATCAAGCTCAGTTAATATAGTATTCCCCGGTTTCCCCTCACCTTTCTTCTTTAATTGTTTATTGTGATGATTTCATAAATGCAACAGTTTTACCGTTTTTTAATGCGGTTAAATATATCAAAGACCCCTTATTTGATGAGAGAAAAGATCCTTGTTTTTATTCTCTCCTATAAACAGATGCTTTTGGCTGACTTTTCCCACCACCATATTGAAATGGCCTGCACACTCCTAGAGACAACTGGTCGTTTTCTTTTCCGATCACCTGATTCCCATTTGAGGACAAGTGTTCTTCTGGTAAGATTTGAGAACACACAAATCAGGAATGTGCTTTTGCTGACTCTCTCTTTCTGTGGAAGATACAAGTTACATTTACTCTGCATATTTAAGTCTGGCTTTGAACTGTTTTCAGGTGAGTTTCTGGTATGATCACTGTGGATATGGTGCTTTTGTAACTGACTGTGTTATGGTAGATGGATATATAGGGTATGTGTTTTTTGTGCTGTTTGTATCCTAACTTGTATAATTCTATTTGAATTTTGGAAGTAACTCTCAAGTTTAGAGAAGTGGCTTTTGTGGTGAGGTAATGCTTAAAATCCTGGGTGTCCTTTGAGGAGTTAGCATTATTTTGTTTTCATTTTGGAATTTACTGTTTGAGTAACTAAACTTGTTCAGACGAATTTTCAGAGTATGTTTACTGTCAAAAATGAAGGTATTAAAATAAAATGTATATTTCTTTTAAAAAGTCCTTTTGGTTGTTTACCATAATAGAATGATGGCTGCTAACTGCTAATTTCAGGGTTGGTTCTATTCTATATGTGAGGGTTGGTAATTTAAACTTACGTTCAACTTATATAATGAAATATAATAAATTATATAATGAACATTTTTGACGCTTGTACATTTTTCAACTTGGGGCCAGGAATGCTTGATTTGGAAATATAATGTTTTACCAGCTTTTGTTCCCAGTGCAAGCATCAAGCATGACTACACTCAGAAAATTTTTTTTTTTTTCTACTCTGCCCCTTCCTAATATTTGAAAACTACATTTTGTTTCCTCAGCCAGCCAAACGTTTTGCTCCATTAATCTAAAGTGGATGTCAGCCCAAATTACAAAGATGAAAGGATAGGCTCTATTTTCAATCATGGCACTGTTCTTTAACATAAATACTCATTTGCAGTCATATTACAGTTAAATGTGTCTTCAAGTCATTCTTTATTCGTTAATTTGGTTTTTGTGCCAGTAATGCTGACCAGTTTCAATTCCATCTCTTTAGGAGCAGATGATGCGCAAGAAACAAGCAATGCATTTAGATGCTCGTTATGTTACAATGGTGGAAAATGCATACTATTACTGTAATCCACCACCTGTGGAGAAAACAGTGAGGAAGAAGCGCCCTCCCCTTCAAGAATATATCCGCAAACTTCTCTACAAGGACTTGTCCAAGGTCACAACTGAAAAGGTAACTGCTACTTGATTAATTCAAGTTAATTGTTCACTACATTAACCGTGTTGAGTTCCCAAAAGCAGCTTTGCAAAATGCATACCTAGCACAAATAAAGATGGTCTGGCTTTTGGAGGCCAATTCGTTCAGCCATGGCATATTACTGTAGCTCCTTGGGAAAGTGCCACTGACCCAATCATCTTCAGCTGCTTCATCACTTACTTCTCCTCTCACGTAAGGTCAGAAGTAGAAATGTTTGCTAATGATTCCACAGTATTCTGTTCCATTTGCAATTCATCAGATTGTGTGTGTAATAAGACCAGGACAACAATCAAGCTTTGACTAACAGCTGGCAAGGAACAAATATGCCGAGCAGTCTTCAAGTAATTACTATTTTCCATAAGACACAATCTGAGCACTTCCTGAAGCATTCAGTGGTGTTGCCTTCATCAGGTCCCCTACCATTAACATCATGGGGGTCAATATTGACCATAAACTGAATTCGACCTGTCACATACATGATTATGGTAGGAAATCAGCTGAGAGCGACTCATTTCCTGGCTTCCCAGTGTGTCCACCATCCATAAGGCTCAAATCAAGAGTATGATGGAATATTTATATTTGCCTTAATGTGAGTGAACCTAGTACCATTTGAAGTTCAACAAAACAATCTGATCAAGATACTATCCACTATCTTAAACATTCACCCCTGCCTCCATTAGTAATGCAACATGGCTACAGTGTACAGCAGCTACAAGTGCCCTGCAACAACTTGCTGAGGCCTCTTTGCCAACACCTTCTAAACCTGCAATATATACCACCCAAAGGTGTAATGTCACCATCACCTTTATATTAAGCCGTCCATATTGCATCATCCTGATTTGGACACACCATTATTCCCCCTCTGCTGGGTCAAAATCTCAGAACTCCCTACCAAACAATAGTGTGGAAGTACCTTGACAACATTGTCTAAGGTGGTTAAAGCACGTTTGTGAGGGCAATTCTGGACAGGCAATAAATGTTGACCTTGTTTGGATCCTAAGAAGGAACAAATAATTTTTAAGAATGCAGATTTATTCTGTGATTACACCAACATGCCTGACATTATGTTTATATTGTTTGTTGGCTTCTGTTATTCCAATGGTGGAGCTTCAGTCCTCCCCACTTAGTGGACTTGAGTTCATCCAAAACATGTTCTGTAATTTGCAGCAATCACTTTCAGTTATCACCCCTGATTGACATTGGCTCCATGTTATACCGACACGTTGATATTTTTTAATATTCTTGTTTTCACATTGAAAATTCTTTATAGCATCGTCCCTTGTGATCTGTGCTCCAGAATGAGTGCTGCATTCTCTAAATTTGGATATCTGAATACAATAGATTCTCTTAACTTGGGTAATTAAACAGTGGTCACTCTGATAATGAAATTAAATCACTAATTAGAAACAGTACAATTTATCCTTTTGTTTTTGCACTATGGAAAAATTATACTGTTTTTAAGCTGGTTTGCTGTCTGCAAATGTGCAGATTAACACTCAAAATACTTTATACTTTCACAGTAACCACATGAGTAATGCAAAGTTAACTTTTGTGAAGAATAGTTTTCTTCATTTAGTCTTCTTTCCCACCTGACACTTCCTTTCTCTTTGAAAGGAAGCCTAGCAGCTAACTGTCAATCATTATTAACTAGTGCATTCTCCATTGCAGTACCTGTACCAATCAGAGTTTACTTAACAACCTATCAACACTCTTCTCTCAAACTTGAAACAGTTTTCCCCTTAAATCCATATTACGAATTATCCTGAAGAGTGCAAGACAAAAGCTTCAACAAAATGTCTTTTTTTTTTCCCCAGCTATGTTAAAGGAATGAATCTTGTTTTCTGTGCAGCCCCATGAATATCTCCCGTGTGGCCATTCTTCATTTGTAAATAGTGAATGCCAGTGAGGTTCAGCCTGATTGACTTCAAAGTCTACCAGCTTGTCTCAATCTCTTGCTCCTGTCTAACCCACCTTACTTATTTGTTCCCTGCTGAGCAAGTCCACCTGCCATTGAGTTTTCTTTTCATTGGACTGAACCTGTTTTGGATTTTTAGTAGGATTTTCTAGTTAATGCCAAGGATTGAGACCTTCTTAGGGTTCCTGAAGCAACCTGCAGGACCTCTGTTGCTGGTCTGAAATGGTCTACTTCCATGTATGTAGTGTATTAAATGTTGCTGATGGTTTAAGGCTAGGCAGTGCATTTATCAACTCAGCCCATTGGAAAGCATTGAAGGAATATACTTATTCATCAAAGGTTAATATTTTTAAGCTGAATGCCGCAGATATCTCAAATATTCTCTCAACATTGTGAGTGCTCCAGAACTTACATTTAAATAGAGTAATAAAGAGAAGAGATTATTAATCTAATGCTGGCTGCTTCTGAATTGTACCTGATTTTCATTGTCCCCTCAGCAAATGGCAATAAAACCCTGACTATTCTGAGGCTGTGATAATTGATGCAAGACAGCCTCTGTTCATTTAAAGATGGACAGTAATTTAATGCTGGGTGTTTTGGATTTGGAGCCACACAAAAACAATTGATTATTTGAAGTTTTACTACATTTATAATAGTTAGCTTTTAGAAGCACCAAATATTCTTGGCATCCGAATTGGCAGGAAAATTATGAGCAGTGCAAGGGTGATCCATTAGATAAATATGTATGTACTGTGCGCGCTGTTTGTGCTCTGGTTGTTAAGGATACAAAGCCTTTTTTTAAAAAGTAAACATTACATTTTAATTGGAATTGTTCTGATTAGAGCAGAGAAAGTTTGAGTGAAATATACTGGAGTGAAAAGAGTGGTTGAAGCAGATGCGATAGTAACTTTCATAAAAGAATTGGTTCTTCACTTCAAGGAAAAAATTGCAGTGCAGTTGGAAAAGGACAGGGAAATGTGACTGATTAGTTTTTCAGAGCTGATGCAGAAACGAAGGGCTGAATAGTCTCCTGTCTTTCTATAGCCAGTCCACTTAATATGCCATGAACTTTAGAAGCATTTTGCAAAGTACAGTGTTCTTTGGCTGATCAGCAAATACACATTAATCTAAACTTCAGTTTTTGTACCAAAATGTCCCCTTTGTATTTTTCAAACTGCTGTTCTTTTCATGTTTGGCAAAAAAAAATTCTGCGATCTGTTTTCAAACTTCAAATAAAACTTGATATAGGGCTGAGAGGCAGAGCATACTGGTGCCATATGCCATGGAACTGTAGGTTGTAGTTGCACCTAATAATGTCTGCATGGTGTTTTCCTGATTTTAACCTCTGTTATAGCAGAGTGCAAAATGTTGTTTTGAAATTGCTGGCTTTCTGGTTAGCTTGAATTGAGGATCTTAGAAACAAGCTAATATCAGTCAAATTAGAGATCTGATATTCTAAGAAATGGAGGAAAATTGACAAGGACAGCCCAGTAGGATATGGCCAATGCTTACAACACTACTAAATGAGGATAAAGCAATCTTACATCTACAAATAATGACTCTACTTTGCATATTCTATTTCTATTCCACATTTCAATCCTAATCTGACTATTGATATGCAATGTACATTTTTTTTAAAACACTAACGCAACTTTCATATTGCAGGTGTTGAGACAGATGCGGAAATTGGCATGGCATGATCCAGAGGTGAAGGAATATGTTATTAACTGCATGATCAACATCTGGAACGTCAAATATAACAGTATTCACTGTGTCGCTAACCTATTGGCGGGTTTAGTGCCATACCAAGAAGATGTGGGAATACATGTTGTGGATGGAGTGCTGGAAGACATCCGTCTGGGAATGGAGGTGATACCATTTTAGCAGAAACATTAAACAATATGAAAAGATATGAAACGTAGCCCACCTGCAAAATTGATGCTTACAAAAACTAGCTACGTTTTGTACGAAGCATAATGGTCATCATAATTAAATATGACTGTTTATAATGACATAAGGGGAACTTTGCAAATAGGTCATATCCTTTTGATCTTTCTCTCCATAATGTGCTGATTAATGCTGGGACATGGTCTCGCAAATGCTAGAATCTCTCTGACAACTTCAAGCTGCATTTGATCATAGGAAGCAACCAGAGCTGATGTAAACTGTGTACTCTCCGTCGTCATACTCCACCACCACCTCAACACCCCCACCCACCCTACATATCTCAGCATAAAGGCCAATGTCCTAGTTGCTGTCCTAAGTACTCATTTAGTTGCATGCTAACTTTGAGACTCATTTGCAAGGACCCCCAGGTCCTCTGTGGTCCCTTAAGTCCATTTTCATCTTCTATCCTTCCTACCAAAGTTGATAACCTCATATTTTTCCATTTGTCAACTCCATTTGTCAATTTTTTTGCCCAGTTATTTAATCATAGAATCTCTGCAACGTGGAAGCAGGCCATTTGGCCCATTGAGTCCACACCGACTCTTTGAAGAGCATCCCCTCTCAATCCCTGTAAGCCTTCATTTCCCAAAGATAATGCACTTACCCTGCACGTACGTGCCTGGGCAATTTACCATGGCCAATCCACCTAACCTGCGCATCTCTGGACTGTAGGAGGAAACCAGAAAATATTCACGCAGACATGGGGAGAATGTGTGGTTTTGCACACTGACAGTCACTCAAGGGTGGAATTGAACCCTGGTCTCGGGCACTGTGAGGCAACAATGTTAACCACTGAGCCGCCGTGCCTCCCAGTTTGGTATTTTACACATCACTGCTGACACTGTTCTGTCAAGTTGCTCTTCCACTCTTTGGTGTATCATTAGCAAATGTGCTTGCAATGCGCTCAGTCCTTACACCCAAGCCGCTAATACAGATTATAAATATTTGAGGCTCCAACGTTGATCCCTCATTCATCCGAGTAGTTACAGTTTATCAACTGGAAAATGGCCCTTTTGGTCCTGACTTCCCTTTTAGTTAGCCAGTCCTCTATCTGTGCTCATATGATTCCCCTAACATCATGAGCTCTTATTTTGTGCAGTGTCGTTTCTAATCTGGCACTTTATCAAATGCCTTTTAACAATCCAATTGCAGTACCTCTGTTGGTCTGTCTTTATCCATTCTGCTTGTTATGTCCTCAAAGAACTTTTTTTTAAAAAGCATTTCCAAATTAAACAGCCAGTGGTGCTGATTAAATTGAAGTTAAAACTGACCAAAGTTCACGTACCTCCAGCTCTGTCATTCACTCTGTTTCTACCCATGGATTTCACAGATGTCTTCTTGTAATGACCGGCTGCCTTTTGCTTTTCAGGTCAATCAACCCAAATTCAACCAGAGGCGTATTAGCAGTGTTAAGTTCCTTGGGGAATTGTACAATTACAGGATGGTGGAGTCTGCAGTCATCTTCCGAATTTTGTATTCCTTTATTACATTTGGTATAAGTGCTGATGGCAGTGCAACACCTCTGGATCCACCAGAGCATTTGTTCCGTATTCGTCTGGTTTGCACTCTGCTAGACACTTGTGGACAATACTTTGACAGAGGCTCCAGCAAACGGAAGTTGGACTGTTTTCTTGTATATTTTCAGGTAATTGTCAATTATTTTAAAGCTGTCTTTTCACAACCTTTGCTTTAAATTAGCAGTAGAGTGTGTGTTTATAATTTCTTGATCAAACCTTAATAGAAACAGCAGACATATTCTTCCCCACCAACCCCCTTAACCTCTGAAAAAACTGCAGCAGGATGACCAATTAGATAAAGACTTCCCCTGTAATTGAACGAAATTGAATCTACGTGGAGTTGCTCCTCCAATCACCGGGTTCTGTCTGTCTCATCCTCTTTGCTCCAACTTCTCCAGTCACCAGTCACCAGCCACCCGTCTCTCACAGTTGCAACTGCTCACATAACAGCACCTGTGATTGAAGAAACAGCAAGGGCAGGAAGGAATCTGTTATTGGACAAGCTTGGTAGAGTTGCTCCCTGGCTAGCCTGGAGTCGCATGCAAAAATTTTCAGGAAGCTTAAATGACAGGTTGTTCAGGGTGGTGACTACATAATGGGGCTGGGTTTACAAGTCAACTGGACAGAACAGGACTAGGGAGCAGGGGCCCTCAGTGTCAGCTGGACAAGAGTTTGAGTTTAATTTATTATTGTCACAGTGAAAAGTGTTGTTTTGCATGCTATACAAGTAGAAGATACCATACAAAGTCCATGAGGTAGCGGAACAGAGTGCAGGATACGGTGCTTCAGCCAAAGAGAAGGTGCGGAGAGAGAGATCAACATTAACATTTGAGAGTACCGTTCAAAAGTCTGATAACGGCATGGCAAAAGCTGTTCTTGAATGTGTTCGTGTGTGTGTTCAGACTGCTTGACTCCTGCTTGATGGAAGGGAGTATAACTGGCGTGGGAGGGGTCTTTGATTATGTTGGTTGCTTTCCTGAGACAGCGGGAAGTATAGAGTCAGTGATTGGAGGGCTGGTTTGCGTGATGGACTGCGCTGTGTTCATGACTCTCTGCAGTTTCTTGTGGTCTTGGAGAGCACAGTTGCCTTACCATGCTGTGATTCATCCAGATAGATGCTTTCTATGGTGCATCTATAAAAATTGGTAAGAGTCGTTGTGGACATGCCGAATTTCTTCAGCCTCCTGAGGATGTAGAGACGTTGTGCTTTCTTGACCGTAACGTTGATGTGGGTGGACCAGGACAGATTGTTGGTGATTATCACTCCCAGGAATTTGATGCTCTTGACCACCTCCACCTCAGCACCATTGATACAGATAGGGGCGTGCCCTCCACTCTGCTTCCTGAAGTCGATGACCAGCTCCTTCGCTTTGCTGACGTCAGTGTTGGAAGTGTTGGTCGAGGTCACGGAGCACATGAAAGTCTGCTTGAGAGCCTAAAAATAACACAGAATAGAAGTTACTAATTCTGTGTTCAGTCCTGCACCTCCTGTTTGATGTGACCTCCTTTTAAAAGACTATTTTAATGTTTTTAATGTTATTCATTATCTAACCTCTGGGATCAAATAATTACATTTGAACTGCTGTACTGAAATTTGTGGTGTAGAGATGAGTATTTTGTCGATTGTTTGATTTTAAAATAGCTACTGTGAAGCCCAGTCTTGGGAAAGGACAGGGCCCATGTGTTGATAGGGCAGATGGAGCGATTATGGCCTGAGTTGCGGGGTGGGACAGGGTCCAAGTGTGGGCCAGGTAATGGAAGAGGGACTGATTTGAAATTGGATGTTACGTTACTCTTGATGAAGGATCCACTAAGTTTTCACAAAACAGCAGAAACCTTGGGTGTGCCTTTTGGTTTTCATTCACATTATGAAGAACTATGCCTCGTGTGTTTTAAAGAATGACGTGCTTATATTTAACTTAGGTGGAAAAGAATTCAAAATCCCTCCACTAGATGCCTGTAGGGCATTAGGTAAGGCTATTGATGGTGACATTGTGAGATTACAACATACTGCTGTTTCAAAGGGTGCTGAAACAAACACTGCAAAGGAACATTTTTTTTCCGGGGGGGATGTAGGTATCACTGGCAAAGCCAGCATTTATTGCCAATCCCTAATTTCTCTCATTGCTGTGGGGTCTGGGTCACATGTAGGCCAGACCAGGTAAGGACTACACTGGTCCTTCCCTCCAAGGTATTGCTGAACCAGTCAGACTTTTTAAAATAATAGGCCGTGGCTGCATAGTTGTCATTAGGGCAGATTTTTATTGAATTCCAATTTTACCATCTGTTATGAGGGTATTCAAATTAATGTCCTCAGAACATTAGTCTAGGGTTCTGGACTACTAGTCCAGTGACATTACCCTACCTCACCAAATCCCATTATTGTACCAGCAGAAGAACTAGCTGAACAAACCCTGAATAGAATCAAGCAGTTCAAGAAAAATATTGCTAATCACAAGCAACGAGAAATTAGAATAGAATAGCAATGTATTGTCACGTGTGTTTGCAAAAAATAATACTGTGAAAAATTTTAAGTCACCATACCATGGCTACTAAATTAACGACAAAAGGAAAAGAAAAGTTCATCACAGCTCAATTAATGACTCCTGGGTTTGGAGTACGTTGGAAAACCAGGCCGAGACCGTCCCACTGGGGCTAGATCTCCACACTAAGCCGTTGGAAAACCTGGAAGCTGCCTCTGAAGCAAGGATGAAACCTCCACGCCAAGACGAGACCACCCCGCGAGGGCTAGACCTTCACACTGGGATGCTGGAATACCTGGACACCATCAAAGAAGACCACCTTGTTCAGGACAAGAATACCACTCTAGGCCGAGACTGCTCTGGGACAAGCTTGCTACACCGGGAGACCACCCCGCTAGGTGCCATTGTGGGCTATTGGAAGCCAGCTCATTGCCAGGCCTGGACTGGGAGATGACACCTTCCACCGAAGTAATTAAAAGGTAAGGTACCATATTCTTAAAAACAAAAAGCCTAGAAGGAAAGAAAAGTAAAGTCAATGGAGTAGAGATGCCCTGGGCTCGTAGGCTGAGGAGCTTGCATGTGGTGCTCCTTCTCTGCCACCATCTTGAGCTTCTGATTATTGGTGGTGTTTCTGTACAAGATCAACTGGCTGCCTTAGAACAAGGATTGGATATTTTCTATGTTGAGAAAAGAAGGCAGATTTGTACTGTGTTTATGATTTGATTTTGGAAATAGAGTGTAGAAAATGTATTTACCAAAATTAACTAGAATGGCATACTGTCTTATTTATAGATTACAAGTTAACATCTTCAATAATATGTATGTGTACAATCTTTGGAATTTGTTCTATCTTACCTATCTAAAGAACAAAACCCTAGAAAAATTCAATATGAATACAAAAGATATTGTTACTGTGTGACTGCATCATCTAATAAAGGGGTTAATTAGAATGAAAGGTAGCCCTCAAAAATATCTTGGCTTGTAAAACCCCTTGGGAGGAGAGCAGTGTTTTGATCCCTGATCTGAATAATAATAATTCTGGATTTAGTAACGCTGACACTTAATTGAGGTCAGTGGATTATGTTGATTTGCAGCAGGGGTAGTGCCATAATAGCTTGAAGCTTTTTACAATAATAGCAACTGACTTGTATACAATTTTCTCCACTATCAGCAAAACCATGAGAGATTTGACGTTGTATTTTGAATACCTCAGCAGTGCATTTGGGGACAAGGATACAAAAAAATTCAAGCATCTAGTTAGCCCAAAACCTCCAATTGTGCAAGAATTTTGTTTGAATAGCATGTCTTCCTAGCTGTTACCCATTAAGTCTCTGGTTGTAATTTAGCAATCAAAAGGAAAGTATGTCTACTTTATGTCCTTCCACACTGTGTTGAGAATGCAAACATAAAGTTCTTGCACAACAGGAGATAATTTTTCAAAAGTGAAATATTGCAGATGCTGGAACTCTGAAATAAAACGAAATATTGGAAAGCAGCATCTACAGGGAGCAGGGAGCAGAGTTCACATCAGGTCAATGATCCTTCATCAAAACTGAAGAAAGACAGAAATTCATGTTTCTAAGCCAATGGTAAGAAGCAGGAAGAGCAAAAGGACGGTTCTGTGATAGGGTGGAGAGCAGGAGAGATTAAATGACAAAAGATTTCATGATAAAGCGACAGGGAATGGCTAAAATAAAGAAACTAGGTTGTGGCTGATCTGACATACAAGTTCATACTAACCATCTGATTCTGGCTTGAAGGATAAAGAAGGAAACAAAGCTGAAATATAAGCAAAAAAAAAAGCACAGAGTAGAATGGAGGTAAAAATTATGATCTTAGAGTTTACAACATGGAAAGAAGTTCTTCAGCCCAACATGTTTGATGGCTGACACACTGCCTACCGAATCGTATTTTCCAGCACTTGTCCCATGGCCTACTATTCTCTGGCATTTCAAGTGTTCATCTAAATACTGTTTAAATATTGACAGTTCCTGGCTTTGCCACCTATTCAGGTAGTGAGTTCCAGATATCCCCACTGTCTGGGTGAATTTTTCCCCCTTAACCTCCAGTCCCTTGCCTTAAATCTGAGCACTCTGGTTATTGAGCCCCTGCTAAAGGGAAAGTTTCTTCCTGTCCACCCAACTCTGCTCCTCATAATTTTGTACACCTCAGTCGGGTACCCCCTCAATCCTCACAGCTGTAAAGAAAACAACCCCAGTCTACATAGTCTTTCTTCATACCTGAAATGTTCCAACCCAGTCAACATCCTGGTGAAATGCAGAAACTCATGTTTGTACTCCTCATTGTGGAGTCTACTATCTCTATTGGTCTTCCTATCTTTCTCTTCCCACCTTGTGCAGTTGGGCTGTGGATACACTTTCCAGAAGAACCATCACTGGCATCATTTTCCAACACAGAAAAACACAGATCCACTTTGGGGTTTTCCTGAAAAAACTGCCTGCCTCCCTCCCTTCTGACTGGTGATCACCCGTTCCAGCTCTGACTACACTTCATCAAGTTGAAGGTTTAGCATGTTAAAGAACATACTATCCACATAACTCAACCTCAGGAATGCAATGCTTCCCTCTCCAAGGTAATCAGACCGGTGGCACTTCCAGTCATCCACGCTTCCAGCAGCCCTTTAAGACTTTGCACAAAGTGCAAGCCATGCAATACACGTCTAAAATTATTCAATTCAGCACTGAGTCCAGAACGCCATGAAGTGTCGAGACAAAAGATGTGGTTGTGTTGGCTTAATTGTAATTAAGAGCCACAGATAGGCTGAATGGGAGCAAGGTGGAGAATTAACGTGAGAAACAATAAAATGTAATAATGACTAGGATAATTTTAGTTCTTTTTGTCTCCAATTTCTAATTGTCTTTTTATTTTCATTTTCTTGTGAAAAAGATTTGATCTCCATTTAACAGGAAACATCCAGTCAAATGATTAAAAGAAACTCTTAAAATGTTTTAAAAACTGCATATTTTCAACTTAACCAAAAAACTGCTACTCAGGTCAAACTGCCAAGTCAGTTTAAAACAAAATAGAGATCTGGTTTCTTACTAATGCCTTATTTGTTTCATTAAAAACAATGCCATTAAAAATAAATGGGATTTGACAAGTTAACGGTAATTGTATTGTGTATCTTAACATTGAAGAGCATGAATAGGAACTGACAGGTGTACGTTTAATGGTGTCTGTTTTGGTGTATTCTTAAAGATGGCAGAGAACTGTGCCTTGCCAAAGAGAGACTGTACATCTTTGCATGTTTCCACCTGATCATAAGTCTGAAACAATTCAAAGTGTCTGAAATGCAATATAATTTTCAGTTTCAATTGCATAACAAGATTCTACATACAGCAATGAGATAATGATTTGTAGATTCTGCCTTTGTTTTTTATAGATGGAAAGAATTACTCATGGAGAACACTCTGTTCTTCAAATGATGCCATATTACCTTGATATTTTACTCTCCCTTATCAGTTTCTTCATCCTCTTGCTATATTCTTAAAAATCTCCTAATCATGAGAATTTACTGCTTTTTTTTTTTTGCAACTTCATAAGACTTTTATTTTAATCTCATACAATCCTAAGCTTCCTTTGTTGGCTCAGGTTGGCTGACTCTTTTTGAGTTTTTGATTCTATGGCCCGTAAACTGTGTAATCGTTTGAAACGGGGACGTGATGGCCTCATGGCTGGACTGTCAATCCAGAGACCCAGATAATGTTCAGGGGACCTGGGTTCGAATTCCGCCATGGTAGATGGTGGCATTTGAATTCAATAAAAATATCTGGATTTAAGGATCTAATGCTGACCATGAATCCATTATTGATTTGTTGGAAAAACCCATCTGGTTCACTGATGTCCTTTAGGGAAGGAAACTGCCATCCTTACCTGGTCTGGCCTACATGTGACTCTAGACTCACAGCAATGTGGTTGACTCTGAACTGCCCTCTGGGCAATTACGGATGGGCAAAATAAATGCTGCCTAGCCAGCGATGCCCTCATCCTGCTAATGAATAAAGCAAAAAAAGACTATCCATTGCCTTTTAACGTATTTCCCAGTCCACCTCAGTCAATTTGTGTCTCATACCTTTATAATTTACCTTAGGTTCAAATTTTAACACCCGTGCTTCAGAATGAAGTATCTCACTTTCAAACAGTATGAAATACCTAAAGGTCCTTTTACAACAAGATTATTAGTTAGTCCTTTTTGGTTCCATAATTCTAAATCTAAAATAGCATGTCCTCTAGTGGTTGTAACCTGTGAGATTCAGTTGTTTATTTCATCTGTTGTTAGTTTCTTTTTGAATTAATTAAAACTTTTTTTTTTGAAATTATGATTGCATGGATTCTGTACATACTAACAAACTAGATTCTTATACTTATGCCACCTGCAGCGTTACATCTGGTGGAAGAAGAGTTTAGATGTGTGGACGAAAGATCACCCGTTCCCTATTGATGTTGACTACATGATTAGTGACATACTTGAGCTGCTTCGACCAAAGATGAAATTCTGTGGCTCCCTTGAAGAGGCCATAAAGCAAGTTCAGGAACTCGAGCGTGAGTTCTTGATTAAACTAGGTAAGGAACGGTTCTACTTGTATCATTCTGAAGAAGAGTCGTACAGAACTCAATGTTAATTCTGGTTCTCTCTCCACTAAAGCTGTCACTCTGCTGAGTTTCTCCAGCATTTTTGTTTTAATTTCTACATAAATTATGACATTGCATGTATGTTTACTTTTTCACTTCTTCAATCATTTACTCTCTTACTATGTGATGTATTGACTGCCAGTCAAAGTTATAAACACAAAATGAAGAAGCAAATTAATAATTTTGGTTTCTTGCATAATCTTTACATAGTAATGGAGTAAAACCTGTACCGTTAGAAAAGAAATCCCCGAGGACACTGTCCCTTTGAAGCATTTGTCAAGCGACCCAGTCCCCTTTGTCTGCAGCAGCTATCAGAAAGTGCATGAAAGTAAAGCAGGTGCTAATGAGTGAGCTGGAACAGAATCTTTTCTCCCATTAGCCCTGCCACTGCCTGTGGATGTACCTTCTGTAATGACCTCCTGAAAATTTGGGGTTGTTCTCCTTTGAGTAGAGAAAGCTTAATAAGAGATGTTTAAAATAATGAAACATTTATGTAAAGCAAATAGAGATAAACTGTTTCCAGTGGCTGAAGAGTGGATGAAAGAGGGATTTGCTAAAGAATCAGAAGAGACTCGTGGAAAAGCTTTATGACACAACAAGTGATTAAGATTTGAAATGCAGTGATACAGATTTAATCGTGGCCCTCAAAAAGAAGTTACCTAAAAGGGTCACTGGACTTGAAACCTTAATGCAGTTTTCTCTCCACAGTGCTAGACGTGCTGAGTTTCGCAGTGATTTTCGTTTTTGATTCCGATCTCCAGCATCAGCAGCTCTCTCTTTTATTATAGAGGCGTGGGATTAAATGGATTTCTATTTGAAATTACTAACGCTGACTTGATGGGCCTTCATTGTGGTACAATTCCATGATTATTCCATTTCTGTTACCTATAGTTCCGTCACACCACTTTCTGCTTGCTAATCTGGAGCAAAAATGCATTTTAAAACTATTTCGGTACCCTTTGATTTTCTTCACGTAATCTTTTATATTATTTCTAGACCTAACTGTTCCAATGCACTTTTGGCTGCTTTTCCAACCTCCAAAAATGTAAGGTCATTCAAAACTTCGTTACGCCAGTGTTTCTGCTCACTTCAAGCACTGTTCAACCATCATTACTTTGCTCACTGACCTATATTGGTTCCACATCAGCAATAATTCAGTTATAAAGCTGAGTTACATTTATGCTTTTGTCTGAACTTGTCTAGATATCAGGTTGAGGTTTATTTCTAGCTGATAAAACCACCACTGAATATTCTGGCAAGGGTGGATATGTATTGATATTTAGCAAGAGAAATTTTGTGCAACAGTGAATGAATTTCTCCCACTTGGAAGTTTAGCAAACTTAAATGATGCCAAATGAACTGGCAGTACAGTTTTTGTACATCATTGTTAATTTTGACACTTTGTAAATGCTGAGAGTTTAGTTTTGAAAGGGCTCTTGTTCTTTGTTTCATGGGCTTAGCGAGGGTGGGGATGGAATGTCTCAAAGGTCTTCTGTTAACAAAAAATTGGGAAGCCTTTCACTATCCAGTACTGCATCCGAGATTATGGTACAGCAAGAAGTGAGCTACATTTTTAAAATTTTTGTCACAGATTATATTTTAGTAATTTATGTTACCGATGACAATTCGCTCAGTGTTCATTTGACTTATTTTTGTCTGTTCGCTTTGGAATGAGCTCCTTTTATTATTAATTTTATATAAAGAGACAATTCTTTCTTTTTAAAGAAGAAATTTGGGGAACTGATTTATTGCTACTTTTCACGTCAGTGACAATCTACTAAGAAAAGCCTTGCATTCCAGGCACTTTTAGGCAAAAGAAAATTATTTTGGGAAACAGGCATGTATTAAACTACATGACCATGTTTTGGGAAAATCTTTTTCACTGAAACAGTTCTTCCTTTCCACCTTGCCCTTCCTCTTCATACTAGAATGCCTAAGTAAAATTACACCAGAAATGTTAGAAATTTCAAAATTATTCGTGGTTGAAATACCACAATTAGCAAAACTTGTGTTTCTGAACCTCAAGATTAAATTTTCTCTTAGAATCATTCTTCTTTAGTGGTGCATTTTATCCTGGGTGATACAGCATTCTGTTTTGGGTAATAGATTTGTCTAATTTTGGAGTAGATTTGTAGCTCGGGTTGTGGGTGTTGAGGTTGGTTGTCTCGCTGATGCAGGTTTGTTGTTTCGCAGACATTTTGTTACCATGCTGGGTAACATCCTCACTGCAGCCTCCGATGAAGCGTCGGTGTGTTTTCCTGCCTGGTTTTTAAACTCTGAAGTCCGTTGAGCTGGATTGCCTCACTTCTGGTTTTCCTTTGTAGTGGAGTGTATATGGAGTTGAGTTCTATGTGTTTATTAATGGCTTTCTTCGTGGAGTGCCAGGCTTCTAGGAATTCCTGTGCCTGTCTCATTATTTGCCAAATATCAAGTTTGTTAATCCAATGTGCTCATGCTTTTCAGCTTGCTTTTGAGTAAACTTTTAAAGTTTTAAATATGATAATACATTAATTCCGAATGCCACTGGTTTGGGGAACTCAATTATTGTTCTTTTGTCAGGTTGGGCATAATGACAGCAGCAGGCATATGTGAATAGTCTAATTATGATTCATGTTTTTGAGGGCATTCATAGGATTAATGATGGCCTAAAATAATTTGGCACAGATAACTGTACATCCATGTCAACTTTAGATTCCTTGGCATTTATTCATGATTGTTATGTTCTGTCTTTGAATTTGGAGTTTAGTGAATGTAACTTCTGGAGCATTCCTGAAAAAAAAAATCATTGATTTACGTTTGGAGACGTTGTTGTTACTTTATTTAATTCATAAATTAATGAGGTTGTTGACTTGCTCGCCGAGCTGGCATGTTTTTGTTCAGTCATTTAGCCACCATGAGTACTCACCATAACGGACCGGACAGTATAAATTCCAAGCAGAGTAGAACAACATTGCTTCATCGGAGACCTCACTGATCATGTCGCCTAGCATGGTGACGAAACATCTGAACAAAAACAAGCCAGCTCGGCAAGCAAGTCAACAACCTCATCCACAACCTGAGCTACAGATCTTTGCCAAAACTTTGTAAATTAATCTCAATTGACAGCTTTTATGAACACTTGAATTAAGAGCAGAAGGCTCATTTTTACTAGAAGCGAACATCTCCAAAAATCTTATTCATTGCTATTCCATGATTATGATATTGATGCAACAATCTGTTTTTCTCATGTAATGAAGCCTAATATTACTACAGGATTATCAAATTGTAGTCGCACTGCTGTTCCAATCTTGTATCTTGATTTTGGGGCTTGTGATGGCTGCAGAAGAGGATCCGAGTTAACTAGCTATTCTTTCTGCAGTCATGTGAACTACCCATATATGTTAAAGTTAGAGTATATAACATACTGTAGGATATGAAATGGGAATATCAAGAGATTCAAAAGGCTTGGCTAAATTGCTGCAACTTCACATGTTTGCTACCTGCCAAGATGTTATATTAAAAGGGTACAGTATTCAGTTTTAATTATGAAAACTTAAATATGGAATCAAATAGATTTTAGCACTTGATGAACCAACTTCATTGCCTGCATAAACTGTAAAGTATGGGTGTAGGTTCTGTCCTGACTAATGGGTATGTTTCATTTCAGACTATGTCTGAAGCAATAAAAACTAACACTAGGTCCGTGAATGAATCAACAGTTTGCAGCTTTATCGTCTTAATGATGAAAAGCAGACCTTTTCTGTAGTGAAGTGGTACAAGATGCAAGCCAAAATCTCAATCCCCCTGCATGCACGTATACGTGAAAAATGTGGATCCCTGTAGTCATTCTGGTTATCTACCTGAATCTCCAATTGTTTATAGTGACCAATATTGCCAAGCTGACTGGGAGCCTTGTCACCGATTGAAGAACTGGTGAGGAATTCCCATCCACTCCATGGGGGAGGCCTGACTGAAATAAATGCCCTTCAGGACTTAATGGATGCTGTCAGGCCTACCATACAATTGAGGTTGTCAGTGGTGGAAGTTCTGCCATCAGAGCTGCTGGTCAAACAGATGCTGGCAGTGCCTCCTCCTGCCTACCTGTGGGATTGGGAGCTGCTGGTGGTACTGTAGCCATCCAAGGCCTCTGATTGCAAAGCGACCCCAGGTCGCAAGTGAGTGAGGGCAGGATGGGGTTCATTGGGTTGGGTCCTCAGGAGAGGGTCAGGGAATGGGAGGCAAGGACAGAAGATGGCTTTCAGTTGTCAACCCCTGGCACTCCACTACCACCTCAGTCTCCGCCCAATATTGATTCTTCTGTTCTGAGGAAGGGTCACAACCGGAAGTGTTAACTCTGATTTCTCTCCACAGATGCTGTCAGTCCTGCAGAGCTTTTCCAGCAGTTCCCGTTTTTGTTTCTGATTCTTATGTGTGGGGCCCGCTTCTCTGACAGAGATGGGTTTTTTTTGGATAGCCTTCTGAGAATGCAGGACACCTGTGCAGCTGCAATTTAACCCCAGAGCTGCCACTAAATTGCACTGGTCTGAGTTAACTGTTGGCCTATTAATAATGTTGATTCCCATCCCACTGATAGGAGGGAAGCCCACACCCATCCCATCTGTCCTCTGATTTTAGTCAGGCGATGATTTCTTGCAGACATGAGACTGGCGCAGGGAGTACCCATGATTAAGATGCAGGGACAGGAAGGGATATCTGAACAGTACTGGAAATGGTAGAATATAATAGAGGTGTTCGAGAAGACAAAAATGATTTGGGTTTTGTTTGCTGTTGATAGCAATGAGGAATTTTACTGCTTGGGAACTAAAAATTCTGCCATTTAAGTAACCAGTGGCATGAAGCATGCCCCAGTCAGGTATGGTATTGCTTGAGTCATATCAAACTCTCTCTACTTTCCCCCAATTTTTAAAAAAAAAAAAAAAATTCATGGGAAATAGACGTCGCTGGCTTGATCCGCATCTATTTGCCCAGAGGACAGTTAGGAGTCAGCGACATCACTTGATCTGGAGTCAAAAGTAGGCCAGACTTGGTAAGGGAAACCATTTCCTTCCCTAAAGGACATCAATGAACCAGATGTGTTTTCCCAACCATCAACAGTGGTTTCATGGTCATCGTTAGATGCTTAATTACAGATTTTTATTGAATTCAAAGTTAACCATCTGCCATGGCGTGATTCAAATCTAGGTCCACAGAACATTACCTGGGTCTTTAGATTAAGTCTAGTCAAATAATACTAGGCTCATTCCCAATTTTGAAATAGCACTGCCTACTGAAATGTGTCTTTTTTTTTAATTTGCGAGAGCCACCAATCTGCATTCTGTCCAGTTAGAGGAAGTTATTTTGCTCTCAGTCCACGCTGCTAGGAATTCATAGCTTATAGTATAAAAGAGGTCTGTACAGCCTATCCCACCTGTAACAGCTCTCTGAAACGTCTAGTGTACTCCCTCAGTCGCTGAGCGTCAACACCCTGTCTACTTGAGGTCTGAGTTGGGCATGAACTTTGACTTAACATGCTGCTGCTGAGCAAAGACTGGAGTGATTGCCTTATTTTTCAACCTGTTGTTATTGTGTACTTGAAAACTACATAAGGGAGTTTTGAAAAGAGGGTTAGTAAAATATGATAATTTATTGGGTCACAAGGAATGAAGTTTACATACTTGACATTTTTTGTGTTGGAAGTCCTCTTTTAACCTTCAACTGATCACATTATTGTTCAGTCTTGCATTGTCTTAACTAATCACCCTTGTGATATTGCATTATAATGAGTTATTACATATGTAGTTAATGATTTAATGGTTGTATCCATTTTACCTCTTAACAGAACATGCCAACTTAATTTAGCTGACATGTTTTCTAAATATGCATTTTCAATCAGGCTGCATATCTTTATTTTGAAATAAATAATGAACTGCAGTCCTTAGATTCCTTTGAAACCTGATCTTCAAATAAAAATTAAGGAGTGTTTCATTCCCAACTTCATTTTTATTTAAGACTGAGACACACATGGCCTAATTTGAGAACTTCAGACTTGGCCATGTGAACTGCTAATCATGCTCCCTTTTAAAAGGAGAAGATTGTCTTGGATTTTTTTCTCCCTCATCAAAAGCGTTATTGTCGCAGGAACATTATTGATTTTGTTTTTTTGAGCAAGCCCGTTGGTGGATTTCATTTTTGTTCTTGTTGTCAGGATTGCATCTCTGTCCTGAGTACATTGCAGAAATGTGGTGATCCTTTTAGCAGAAGCATAAGTTGAATTGTATTCAAATAGGATGTGCAATGAAAACAAAGGAAGATAGTTAATGAATAAGGCTTAACTCAGTGAGAGATAGCAAGAACTGCAGATGCTGGAGTCAGAGATAAGTGTGGAGCTGGAGGAGCACAGCAGGCCAGGCAGCATCCGAGGAACAGGAAAGTTTTGGGTTGGGACCCTTCAGAAAAGGGGTGGGGGGAAGCAAGCTCAGAAATAAACAGAGGAGGGATGGGGCGGGGGAAGGTAGGTGGGATGGTGATAGGTGAGTGCAGGTAGGGAGTGGTGGGGATTGGTCAGTGAGGTGGGAGAAGCGGATAGGTGGGAGAGAAATGGACAGGTTGTGTCAGGACAAGGAGGCAGGAATGAGCGAGAGGGTTGGACATGGGACGAGGCTGGGGGTAGGGAGATTTTAAAACTGGTGAAATCCACGTTTAGGTCGTTGGATGCTGGCTCTCGAGGTGGAATATAGGTGCTGCTTCTCCAGTTTGCGGGTGGCATCATTGTGATACTGGAGGAGGCTCAGGATGGACATGTCACCCAGGGAATAGGAAGTGGAGTTAAAATGGTTTGCAACTGGAAGGTGTTGTCGTTTGTCGCGAACAGAGTGCAAATGCTGTACAAAGCGGTCTCCGAGTCTTCGCTTGGTCTCGTCGATTGTAGAGGAGGCCACATATCAGATCCTCCTATTTCAAGGGCCGTAACCCCCTCCCACCCCACCCCTGCCGGTGTTTGAAAATGCCCTCAATAACATTTCTTGTGTTTCCCGCACCTCTGTCATCGCTTCCCCTTCCCCCGCCTCCAACAAAAATAAAGACAGAATCCCCCTTGTCCTCGCACATCACCCCACCAACCTCCGCATCCAACGTGTCATTCTCCGTCACTTCCATCACCTACAATCCGATCCCACAACCAGAGATATATTTCCCTCCCCACCCCTATCTGCCTTCCGTAGGGATCGCTCTCTCCGCCACTCCCTTGTCCACTCCACACTCCCCACTAACCCCACCACCCCCGGCACCTTTCCCTGCAACTGCAGATAGAGCTACACCTGCCCCTACACCTCCCCCCTCACCTCCATTCAAGGCAGAAAACAAACCTTCCACATTAGACAGGGGTTCACGTGCAGATCCGTCAACTTGGTCTACTGCATCTTCTTCTCCTGATGTGGCCTCCTCTACTTCGGTGAGACCAAGTGGAGACGGTGAGACCAAGTGGAGACTCTGAGACCATTTTATAGAGCATCTGCACTCTGTTCACAACAAATGACAACACCTTCCAGTTGCCAACCATTTTAACTCCACCTCCCACTCTCTGGGTGACATGTCCATCCTGGACCACCTCCAGTGTCACAATGATGCCATCCGCAAACTGGAGGAGCAGCACCTCATATTCTGCCTTGTAAGCCTATAGTCCAATGGCCTAAACATGAATTTCACCAGTTTTAAAATCTCCCCACCCCGGCCTCATCCCACGTCCAACTCCCACCCCTCATCCCCACCTCCTTGACCTGACACAACCTGTCCATCTTCTCTCTCACCTATCTGCTCCTCCCACCTCACTTACCAATGCCCACCACTGCCTACCTGCACTCACCTATCACCGTCCCATCGACCTTCCCCAGCCCCACCCCCCCTCCCTCTCTTTTTTTTCCACCCCCCTTCCCCCCCCCCCCCCCCCCCACCCCACCCCAACCCCTCCCCATTTCTGAAGAAGGGTCCCGACCCGAAACGTCAACTTTCCTACTCCTTTGGTGCTGACTGGCCTGCTGTGTTCCTCCAGCTCCACACTGTTATCTTTTAATTCAGTGAGAACTCTGCTTTGCTTTGGCTTTTTGTCAGATTACTAGTGCTCATGCGTTTTCTTTTTGACTGTGTTTACTGTCAACACAGCTGCCAGGACCCCACACCCCGCTCAGAATATCTCAATTCCTATGCTGCCACTGCCAGTGATGCCTGCGTCTGAAAGTTTTCGTTGCATGTCAATCCAGATTTGCCAGCGAACCTCCCTTTCCATATCAGACTTGCAACTGTATTGGAAAGTTTAATAAATTCATTTTCATTTTTTTTAATCTCCCATTTATAAAGTGTGCAAAACTGCTGATCCAGTGGATCACTCAAAGAATCTATAGCACGCCACTCCCGAGAGGTAACAAACAATGTGGATACAAGTATTATGTCAGCAGCACGGACGTCTTGATCCAGTGCATTGGTAGGAGATGTAGGCTTCCATTTAATCTGCACAACAAATATTCTGTCCTTCCCTCTCTTGTCTTTATAAAATTCTCTCACCTTGTGCTAACAACATGATGCAGGACTTTAAATGGTTTGAAAGTTAACTGCTGCTGTTTGTATTGTGTGACCTTACTGATCTTCTCAACAATTCTTCCTTACTTATCTGAATTGAATTTGACATTTTGCCAGGCAGAGTAGGTGCTGCAGCGTGCTTGACATACTTTTTGCATTTAAATTGTGAAGAGTGCACCGCTGGAATGACTAAGGCATGTTAAGTGCAACATGTTCCAACACTAATAACAGTTATGATTGACAAAATGTGCACCAAACATAAATTTATGTCTTACTGTAACATAAATCAGAAATATCCAGTCCTTCAAGTTCTTTATTTAATCCATTAATTTAGTCCAAATGTGTAGCTAAGGCTCTGTAAGATGTCGAGGGGACTTGACAGAGGGGATACTTGTTCAGAAATATCCCTTTTAAAAGTCTTCCATGGGTTGGCCATGGGAAATGCAGGATTTTACGGATAGATTAAGGGCAGTGGGTCTGGGTGGGATGTTCTTTGGAGGATCAGTGTGGACTCAATGGTCAAATGGTCCGCTTCCACACTGTAGAGGTTCTATGAGTTCTTCTCTACTGATCTGTTCCCCTAGCCTTGTGTCTCAATTAACCTCTTCTAGCTCAGTTTAGTGCCCACATAACTGCCCTTACTTTATTTTAAAATACAAATCTTAGACCCACATTTCTCTCCCTTTCAAATTGGATGTAATATTCAAACATTTTGCGGTTGCTGCTACCTAGAAGTGCCTTTGCTCTGAGATTATTCATTAATCTTGTCTCATTACACAATACCATGTCTGCTGTCTGATTGGAGCAGCACTGTCTCAAAAACATTCTATGAATTCCTTGCTCGGGATACATTACTAGCCTTCTGGACTCATGCTCTTGGCTGGCAAGGGGAGATTTGGAGGTGGCCTAAGTGAAATTGAAAGAAGGGTAGGAACTGGAAACAAAATTTATTAACTTTTCCACTTGGCAGACAAAAAAAAAGTGGCACCCATACGGTCATTGGTGTCCTGGAAGAAGTGTTGTGAGAAGGGTCCAGAGTCGGACTAGAACAAGGAATGTTCCACTTTCTTCTCAAAATCACTCATGTAGACAGGATCTATGAAGTTACACATGGAATTCCCTTTGGAGGAAGTGAGACTAGTTAACAGATATCATTCAATGAGAGAGCAAGCTCAGCCTGGCGGAAGAGAGTGATGATAGATGTGGACTATTTCGACCTACATTCAGGGAAGAAGCAGTGTGTCCTCGGGCTATCCTGGTGGGAGGTAGAGGTGTAGAATGGTTGGATGCCACTGAGGAAGAGGTGGCTAGGGCCAGAAAACTGAGAATTATTGAAATGATGTAAGTTGTCAGGAGATTGATAAATGTGGGTGGGACTGAATCAGCCAGGATCTTATTGAATAGTGGAACATGCTCAATGGGTAGATGGCCTGCTCCTGTTTCTTAACTTTTTATCTGCACAAACCATTTTATCTTCCTGTATGATGTTTCATTTTCTCTGCAGTTCACATCTGTGCCCTATTAGTGCTGATGGTACTAGTGACCCTGGCAGTGATGAACATAAAGATATATACATATTTATCTGGGTTCAAGCTTTACATCAGTACATACATATGTCAAGTCGAACTGACATTTCTGTTCCTCAGAGTTCTCGGAGTTATCCTATGTAATACTGTTCCTTTTATTATTATAGCATCAGTACTGCATCTTTACTCTGTGTTAATTTAAGCTTGAATGTTAATATAATATGGTAAGACATCATCCATAGCTTTTGTTTACCTATGCTTTGTATGTGTGTGTAATGTAAATTTCATTTGCGGACCCAGATTTGGTAGTGATGAATTGCAGGTGGCATCTATTTCTCAAAAAGCTGTGCTGTAGAGAGTCCAGGGTGTTATTGTAATTTAGCATGTCATAGAAAAGGATAGAGAATTGCTAACTGAGTCAGTTTCCACTGAATTAGT